TCCCTTTATTCGTACAGCCTCCTCCTATTCAAGTGCACCCACTTTCTCGATTTTACGCTCCCTTCAATCATGCTCGTATCCTGCCCTTTGGCCGATGACACTGCCCTCACGGCTAAATATCCAGTTTCATCTTCAGGGCGCACATCCACGAGCTCAAGCCTCATATTCTTTAAACATCTTGCTCGCTCAGGTCCGTCGAGATGTGATCCACCTGCCGGAAGCGGCACAAATGGATTGTCTCTGGTTAGGGTGCTAGCGAAACCGAGAACGTCCGGGCCTTGGATCAGAATCTCGATAACGAAGCCGCAAATGGCAAGAATTTGCAGCACCATTGTTGTGAATAGCAACAGACCAACCCAAACGCGTTGCGCGCTGTAAACATCAATCGTGGTTATTCTCGTGCCCATTGTGGTGTTCATGAAGGAGTCTTTATAGGTCTGACCCGTCTCCAGACCGTTCATGTTGTGCGATGGGATTGTGCCGTAGGAAACATTGGTATGACCTCCAGGATTTAATCCAGCGTCCCAATATGTGTTGAAAGCGGTCGTCATCCGCCTGGAAAACACATAAGGAAACTTGGCGAGATCCTCTTTGGTCCACGGCAATTGACTGGTAAATTCATACGGATTTTCATCTTTCATCAGGTACATCTCCGATGGCGACGGCTGAACTCCGTCCTTGTCACCGGACGCTTGTGCCCAAGCATACAGAGCATAACTCATCTCTTTGAGACGTAAATCGCTTCGTGTAACCGATGGCGGAAACAGAGAACTTCCAGTCTGGTTGTCGGTAGAGAGTCGCCGTTGCTGCCGTGCTTCACAGCTCGTCGCTGGGTCTCCCGGTCCGCAGTGAATGGTTGTTTCGACCTTTACTTCATGAGTGGCACACTTTACGACGTAGAGTTGTGAGCCGCGCATTTGCTTGACGTATATGAACTGATAGGGCGAGTTAATGTCATCGTCTTCACCTTCCGCGTTGAACCAAGATTGGGGCAGGATATTGAAAGCAGAGAAACTCGGGTAGTTATAGAACAAATCGACAATGTTGGTTTGATTCTTTGTTAACTTTCCTCGTAACGGGTCGAAGCTGTCGACGAAATCGCAAACGACGTGGAAATATGAGGTTGGTATCGTAAAGTTGAACTTGGTAGGTTCGTTGGGCCTGACGAGCCCTTGAATCTTGATACCCAGCAACGAAGCATAAGAGGCCTTGCCCGAGACCAAGTCAGATTTGTTCACATCATAGAGATCATATGAGCCGTTGTCAAGCCTTTCCTGCGACAACTGGGGAATTTTCGGCAACCCCCAAATATCCCTCGGCGATGCTTTCTGCTTCGAAGACGACAGTAAACTCGCAGCGTATGTTGCGCCAACGCTATGTCGGTAGTCGATCCATCTCGAGTGGGACACTTGATATGCCGGATCAGCGTAGTAGACCGTTCCATTCGATACCAAATCGAACTTTGCATCTTGGAGCAGCCTCGACGAGCTCTGTCCACCCAAAGGCGATAGGAGCCATGAAGTAAGGATTATAAGGCCAATAACGGCGTTTGTCCGTATTACGAAAATTCGTTCAATGGCGGTAGCCAGGTTCTGGCTGCCGATCAACTGCTCTAAAACAGGTAGGTTCACACCGCCGCGGCTTTCAAGGCACCATCTGCCGAATACCCGGTAAAACCGTCCGACCAAGGCGGCAAATAAGATGGGGTACAACGATGGACTGAGTACCGTGAGTTCTAATACCTTTTTGCCGTAGTCAGAATGAGGTTGGTTATCGAGACGGATCGCCGTGATAGCGAGAGCTTTTCCTGGTTAGTTTATCCCTTGAGATGAAGGGATATGTCTTACCAATGAAACAAAGGGGCGTGAATGTGAGAAGAATGCTGAAGATCCAACCAAACACTGTTGGTGCGTCCCAGTGCTCTAACGTCTTCGGGCCGCCATGCCAGTTTTCTCGTATTCTCGTATGTGGTATCATCTCCTCCATCTGCGAACCTGAGACATCGTCTCTTGAGTCGTGGGCCAGAAACGGTGCATGCGCAATATCTGTTTGCTCATGCTTTTTTGAAGTTGAAGACGGCCTAAGAATTTATCAGCATGAGATTCGCCAAATATCGATAGATTAACATACCAATAGTGCCGTACAAGTCCCAGAACCAGCAGACTTGCACCAAGGAAACCCGCACAGATTCCTATAACAGTCGCATATCCAACTTCATGCTTTCCATGATCCCAATTGATATTCGAGAAATCAGGTGCCTCAAAAGTATTATTTACTTCTACTCCAGGCCTCAAATCCGGCGCCGTATCATTTTGCACACGATACGGCTCAAGAAACAATTTTCGCCATCCTTCTAGGGCCGGTAACTGCGCCGGGATTAACTGGTTCTGCGGACATCCCTTGGAGCACGGATCAACGCCGCAACAACCCAAAAAATGCGGCATTGACAAATCGCATCGATAAAAAGACGCATTGTGAAGAGCGCCGCATTCGAGACCTAATTTGTACGCTGTTCGCCCCAGGCTGTAGCTCATCGGTCGTAGGTCTGTTTGCGGGCAGGTTCCAGACCCGTCGGCGCATGGATCCGAGTCGCAGCACCCAACAAACTCGAAGTTAGTCGAAGGTTTCTTGCAGACGTACAAGTTTCCTCCGCTGAAACATCTGATCATGTAGTAGTCCGTGATAGCGGTGTAGTTCACTGCCATCTTGAGTGTAATCGCATGAAGCGCACTGAATTATGCAGAAGAAATTGGAAATCAGATGAGAAAGACCTGCTGAGGGCAGAGCGCTATTATTAAATCATGCTGCTCTGACGGAAACGCCACAGAGGCAGTAAAAGCTGGAGTCTAGACTGTTTTCATGCTCAGCCTCAGCCAGCCATTCTCTGCTGATTGGAAGATCATAGTTAAACACCAGTAAGCTTTGCGCCATTGTTTTCAGCTCAAGCCACGTTGGAAAGAGACGACGGAAAATGTCACTGATGCCTTGTTGTGCAACGTCCGTTTCAAAACGGATGTTGGCTCAAGGCATGTTCAGGCCCTCAATTCATTTAGTCTCATGCCATGTCTCGCTTGCGCCAGCATGCACCGCCGCCATGGCTATTTAAGCATAATTGCTGGACTAGGGCGCCCTGCAGGCTAGGCAGCGTTTCTCTCCCCGATGCCGAAAGGAGGTCACCCTGGCGCATGACTACTGAGACATTGAGTCAAGACGCGTCATTGCTTATCTAGTATCGTCACATGTATATAGAATGAAAATAGTAATTCTTGTATTCTTGTATTGCGGGTTGCCTGACTAGGACTCAGGGTCGACTATCCAACAGCTACGGCGTAGGCCGGATCGAGAAAAGCAGATAGAAACAGGTCTCCACCCAAAATACTTAGCGAGAAGGCTCAGCAAATTGATGAGAGAAAGGCTGAACAGATCCAAAATTCGGTGTGCCATCAGCATTGGCAGTCAGCGGCTGCGTCATCGCGTATCTGGTATCGTCACAAGCACCATTCTTGTTAGAAGTAGCATGGAAAGTAATGAAAGTCTGCTTTCCGTCAGGGCTCTGGAAGAAACTATTATGACCAGTTCCGTAGCTTCCATTCGCGCTCTTGAGAACACAACCGTTGGACTTCTTCCACGCCGAGGCCTTGGCAGGGTCAGTCTTTCCATCCCACTCGAGCAGAGCGACGCAGTAATCTGGGGTCCAGCAGTAGTTGGCTGAGTAGGAGATATAGGTCTTTCCACCGAAGTACAGGGCGTTGGGGCCCTCTTGTACGGGAGTTCCGCTCTTTTCCCAGCTTTGGTCGGGTTGGGAGATGATGCTTAGAGCACCGACGGACAAGAAGTCGGAGCCCAGTTTCCGGATGCATGTAGACTGGTATTGCACACCGGTCATGCAAGAGTAGACGAAGTAGTTGCCGAATTGGTTGGTACGAAGGATAGTGCCGTCGATGCCCCAGTCGTCAGATAGCTTGGCTCCATAGGACCAGCTGTCCCAGGGACTAGCGCCACCTACTTCAATTAGCTATATGTCGTTCAGATAATAAGGAAGACTTACCCTTGATAACGTGTGAGCGCTGGCCAGTGAGATCCTCGGACTTTCCAGCAGTATAGTAGATGTACCACTTTCCACCGAGATAGTGAAGCTCAGGAGCCCAGACGTTAGATGATCGTGAAGGGTCAGAGTCGGTGTAGATGACCTTGGGAGTAGCAGTCTTGAGGCCCTCGATAGTGGTAGCTCGGCAGAGCTGGAGGTTCGTCCACTCTGTCGAGATGAGGTAGTAGTATCCTCCAGTGTATGTAATCTGGGGATCACCACCGCCTGGGTTTCTAATGGGGTTGGTGTAGGCACGAGCTGAGCCGATAAGGCCCAGGGCCAGTGTGAAGATGTTGTTCCAAGAAACCATTATTGCGACTGAGATAGCTGACCTTACTGGATTTCCAAGATCAAGGGATTCAATGGAACCTTTATACAATTGGCGCTTATAAAGATCTCACTGATACTACCTGCTATCCGCGTATACTATCGGAAGCTCGTAAAACCTGGGGAACCTTCCCGTATCGTGCAAGTGCATTGACTTCAAGACCAGATGACTTCTCATTCCGGATGGCTCGCCGAGGCTGGGATCTGGGGTTGCCGATCGATGACCGGGATGTCGATGCGGTCCAATCGTGCCACCGCAGGCCCGTCCCGCAAGGCTTATTCTCCAGCAAAACCTCGGGAGTTTAAGGTCCGCTTTCCAATTGGGGGTGGAGATGTTGCAAGGCGCCCCAATAGAAGGGAGGGTGCTATTTAAGTCTATTTTATAGTTGCGGATTCCCCGGATCATGATGCGGAGGGGATGGAAGAGGTTTATGATCTCATTGATTGGCGGTAAATGTTACAATTCCTCCGTGGCTGCGACAATATGTCAGCTTCGGAAGATCAAGTCTTCACCAATATGCAAATGCATATTGCAACACCAGTCACAGTCCTGTAGTTATCGGAGATGGGTGTCAATAATTCTATACTATGTTTCCTTAAGCTTGAGACCAACATCTTCATCCGTTCCATCTGGAATACTAATCCAAGATCCTGACGTATAGCTCTCCCAAAACCCTTGCGTCCAGTCCCTGAGTCTATGCCACCAACACATGTCGATGCTAGCTTGTAGTTCAGCAACAGTCTGTTCTAACTCCTTGTTGTGACTCTTGACTCCTACGACCTCGCTCTCTCGTTCAGTAAGTTCGGCTTTGTGGCAACGTTCCATCATCTCTTTCGCAGCACGTTCAGTTGCGACTTTCTCTTCATTTTCACGGGCCCTCTTCTCTGCATCCTCGAACATGACTGTGAATTGTTTCATTTTGCTCTTGTAGCTTTTGATCTGATCTCTAAGGTCTTTGTTCTTTTCCTCAATCGGCGCTTGTTGACCTAGTTCCTTTTGCGCATTCGTCAAGTCCACTTTCAGAGATTTATTCTCCGTTTCCAGCCTGTTTCGAGCGATCCAATCACTCATTGTCTGTGTCTGGAGTGTTTCGAATTTCCTTCTCGTAGCTGATAACTTCCCTTCCGTAATATTGTTTCTATCTTGGCTTTCTTTGAGCTTTTGTTCTAGATGAACGATTTTGGGTCGGAAGACGTGTTAAATGTTGAACTCCAGGTCTATAGACTTCTGTTCCGCGAGAGCATTATGGTCTTTGCTTTCTTGAAGTTCTTGTTCCAGATCCTTGTTCTTCCGTCGCAACCGTTTGACTTCTCGTCGGTGCTGCTTCTGTAGTTGATCGTTTTCTTGGCTTGCGGCGTCAATATTGTCCCGCAATTCGGAAATACACGAATTTAATTCGAATAAGTGTTCAGCCTCTGTAAACGCGTCCATATCCTTCACCTTCCTGGCGCGCTTCACGGATACTACCTCCTCTATCACGGCTGTCCAGAGGCTAACGAATTCTTGTACATGCTTGGAATGATAGCGACAAAGGCATAGGTCTGCGAGTTGATGTAGAGTTTGTCTCGTAGCGAATTCGGGAGAGATTTTCGACATTCGACTAAGTAATGCACCAATGGCCGAAAGTCGTGGTTCCTTGATAGGAATCGCACAGCGGGTTTGAAATGTAGTAATGCCTATACATGTGCCATGGTCTGAAACCTGCAACACATCTGCTGGATCCCAAATGATTGAACCCATTGAGGTAAGGATGGAGTGGGGTGATTGAAAATGTAAGTAGTTCGTATAGGTGTCTGCTGTTGAAGTTATGGTGGGCAATCCAGGGTATAATTTTCAACTTGACATTGGTGAGGGTATTTGAGAAGGTGGAAGATGAATAGTGGTGAGGTAGACTAATCGGGGCATGATGGATGCTTAACGGTTTATTTGTTAGAAGCTAAACTGTTGGTTGGGATGTATTCAGCCAGGGCCCTGATCCACACGAAACGTAACCCTTTCATTATAGGTCTCAGACACGTCTATTCAGAACTGTATGAGACACTTTTGAGAGGTTTGTGAAGAATTGAGCTAAAAGGCCGAGTTACATCTTTTTTGAAACTGTGTGTGCGGCGAAAATAGGACCATGTCGTGCCAGTGCACGGATGAGAAGAACAACTGAATTCTCAGGACGGATAATTGACCAAACATGGCCAGGATAAGGGATTTGAGGCTGGTGATACGTGGATGCAAAACACGCATGTCAAATATCATGCTTCATTACACAATAGGATGGACTGAAGGATTGTTTTCTATACTCTGAACGAAGAAAGAAAATTTTAATATTTCTCCAGTAACTCTTTGTCTTTAAGTGAGCAGCAATAACCCGAATTGATTGACCGAAACCTAAAACATAATGACACCCATACCCAGCATAAGCAGTGCGTACCAATAACTGCAAATTTGCTTGCTTGCCATAGCCTCCCCTGGGGTGCTCTCTGAAGTAGCACTTCCTGACACCGCAGTCTCTATGGAAGAAGTACTTGCTGTTGGGCTAGTGCTCAAACTTGACACGTCCGCGCCGGCAGTCTTGTGAGGAGTAACCGAGGTCGTTTCCCCCTTGGATGAGGAATCTTCCTTCAACCCTCCTGAGGCGTTGCACTTCTCTCTGACCAGCTTGAGTTGTTTATTCCAATAGTCTCCTGCTGGATTCGTCGGCGTTGGCCATGCCCAGGAATTTGACCTCATTTCAATTAGCGTGACGTAACAGGGATGGCAGAGCTCGTCAAGGGGCATTTCCTCGCCATCATCGCGATCAGGGAATTCGTCCAAGGTTTCTAGAAAAAGTCAGACCAACAGTCGTCATTTGGAAAGAGATCACCAACCGCCACAGAATCGACCCGTTTTCGGATCCTTTGCACATGTCTGATTCCAGCTACTCGACGTGACATTACCGCTGTATATGAAAAGGTTGGGTGGGTAATATTCGGACCCGACATCTTCCCCGGCACATTCCTTGATGAGCTTTTGATACCATGATTGGAAGGAGTCGGAGCATTGTTTGTTGCAGATCGTCGGAGCCATCTCCATATCTTCATCTGTTTCGCCCCGGAACATATCTTGATCGGTCAAATCCCTGAGGTATTCGTCGCAATCGACTTCTGCTGTCAATACCTGCTTGCAGGCTTTACTGACAGAAGGTTTCAGACTATCAACGTCTTTTGGCTTCATCATTTGCAGTGCGCTGGCACTCATGAAGAGCCCAAGCGCGACAACAAGTTTGTTCATGGCCATCTTGAATACTGGTGACACAGATGTCGAGATTCAAGTGATGCACTATCCGCAGCCAAGGTGATGGGTTCTTAATGATAATTTATAAGGACAAGCCTCAAGCATAGGCCTACATAATTGGAGCCAGCATGGTTGTAAAATTGTCAGACAAATCATTTGTACGGAGTAATGATGGAACCAAACGGGCCTTTTTCATGCGTGAAGGTCGCCAAGACGGCCCAGCACGGGCTGCAAGGGACCGAATGTCAACGATTGGCCATCCACATCCCTGTTGAGAATCGTTCATGGCCCTTAGTCATATCAGGTACCGTGAGGCATCTGCAGGTGTCGATTTATTCTATGCCCAAGAGTAACCAAGTCTAGCCCATAAAGCCGCTATATGCAGCAACATCAATTATTCCAACCGGTAAGCACAGGAATCTTTTCAGTCAAGAGTCGAGGCAAGCTCGTTAATACGGCTAGTGAGTCAACAGAACCTGACTAGCCTGTGGAGTTGTGGGACTCGGAAATCACGCTTGATACAAACCAACAACCAACATCACAATCAACCAACACAGCGTTACATGGGCGATAGACAGAAGTCTCCTGATATGAAAATTCAGTTCTCTTGTTTCTTGCCTGCATCCGGCTTGGCAGATGCTATGTCACTGCATTTACGATCTGCTAGGCGAGAACAGCTTGGCTGGGGGAGGAAATAAAACTCGGGACCTTAAGCCTAAGTGACAAGATATTTAGGTAACTTAGTATAAATTTAGGATAAGTTTGAGATAAGTTTAGGATACCTTTTATAGAGTTTATTTTACCACCCTAAACTTAGGTCTCGTGTTTTCTTGCTCTCCAAGGCTTGGTGCATCAACGCTGTAGATACTGGTGGGGAAACATGCAGGGTCCAGTGAACCTCGCATGCTGGCCGGTTGACAACGATCCTTAGGTGGCAAGGTGGATCGTTGGAGGTCCGAGTGATTTAGGCCTCCACTTACTCTACTCGTAAGTGCTCAGACGTACGTCCCGATTTGACACACTACAGTAAACAAAGGTTGCACAAGAATCGTCGAAACTGGGTTACTGGGATCTGGCCACGGATGAATATGAATTTGTCTCTAACAGCATAATTCCAATGGCTCTGATGGACATAGAAAATGCCCCTACATAAAGAAGAGGTTCATCGACAAAAGAAGCATTAGAGCCCGAGATGTGAACAGCTCTCCCTGTACAGACTTGGCAGCTGCATTAGGCGTAGATGACACTGTAGGTTCAGATGACATGGTCTGTACTGGGGTCCCAGTAGACGATACAGACTCTTCCTCGCCGTTGGCCGTTTGAGAAGCCTTCGAGGCCCCTGCTGTAGTCACCGCCTCGGATGTTTCACTCTTGCTTGAAGTGGGCACGGCAGTCTCGGTGGTGGTTGAATCACCGCACTTCTTGTGTACGAGCTCAAGTTGCTCTTCGTGCCATTTGATGTTGAGGGCGTACGGGGTAGATTTGTACATCTCGAGCCGCTTCACATAACAAGGGTGGCAAAGCTCATCGTGAGGGAGTTCTTCGTCATCCCCGACATCAGTGAAATCTGCAATAATGTCTTGGATACAGTCAGTATTTTCCTATGCACAAGGCTATCGGCTACTAACCATTGCAGTGTCCTCCTGTCTTGGTGTCTTTCAGACAAGTCGCATTCCAGCCTGTTAAGATACGACCAACAGCTTTGGCTTTGGCTTCATCCTCACAATCCTTCGAGACACTGGCGATCCAGTCTTGGAGTGACTGAGAGCAAGCTTTGGTGCAAACCGCATCAGTCAACTCTTCACTTTCAAGGGAGCCGTACCAGCCTCCGTTGAGAAAGCTGATGACCTCTCTGTCGCAATCGATGTCCGCTGACATGGCCTTATCGCAGGCTTTTGTCACATCCTTGTCAGTTCCAGGCTCATAGAGACTGAAAGCATTGACGGACAAAGACATGCCCAGAGTAACAAAGAGTTTAGAGGCGATCATAATGAATGTTGGTAGATTTCAAAAGCGAAAGAATTTGGGGCAAAAAGAGTGACGTGGTTGAGTGAAGCAAAGAAAGAGGAGAGTCCGTGATTTTCCAGCACAGAATCGTGTGTCTGAGCGGTGGAAAGCCATCCCTTTAATGAAAATCGTGAATGAATGGCCCGAGATCTTTTGTATGCATTGTGGATATGCCAAGTCGGTTGGAGGCAAAATGCAGGGGGTACATCCTAGTCTAGCGACCAAATTCATGTAACATGTTGTTGGTTGTTGATTGTTGGTTGCAAAAATCACGTAAAGTTTGATTGCAATCTAAATTATGCTTAGATGCAGCGCTAATAGGCTCGAGAAGTGTAAAATGCTCTGGTCATCGCATGATTACCCATTCTCCCGTGCTCGGATCATATGAAAGATCGTACACCGTCTCTGCGCCATTTTCCCCGGGAACACTGTAGTCAATAACGACATTTGGTTCATTGTAATGTCCCATGAACTCAAGTGCAAACTTGACTTCGGCTCCAGTACCAAGACCTTCTCGGAAGACGAATGAGAAGGGCTCGGACCTTACTATGCGCCTGCTATCCTCAAGCTTGACAGATTGAAGATATGTGACTGGTGTACCGTCATCATCGATGCCAGTCAAAACAATAACTTGACGATCGTGTGAGTCCCTCTCAATCTTGACCACCAGCCGACGCTTCAAGATAAAACTTGGAATGGTGTATCCAAGCCTATCCATCACTCTTGTCATCAAAACATCCGACTCAGCCCAAACGTGCATATCTGCTAGACCTTCCATGAAAGTCTCTTGTAAGTTGCAGATGATAAGCTTACTTTTCTTGCTCTTTCCGCATGTCTCGGGGATGCCACTCGCGGGAGGAACGCTGAGGGATGACCCAAGCGCAATGCAAAGATCAGCCTTCTTGGCATGACTTCGAGCAAGCTTGAGAGGCTCTTCCGGTAAGAACTCTCCAAAGTTGATGATGGTGTCAAGAAGGTTTCCTCCGCAAGCAGTGCACTTGCGGCCAGTCCGATGGTCATGTACTGACTTCTCATAGCTGGCAACTGCTCGGAAGTCTTTGACGATTCAGCATAAGAGGTGTTCTCGCGGCTCTTGTGTTCTTACCTCGTATGTACTCTTTGCCACAGTCTTTACAGCATTCTCGGTTACTGTTACCGTGAAGTTCCGAAATGCGATCCTGTGACGATCAGTCATAGCGGCCAAGGGTCTACAGACAAGTCCTTACCCGCAGGATGCCACTCCTTCGATGTAAGCCATCGCAGTTCTGACTGACGAGATACTTTAGAACTCCTTGATTCTGGAGCTCTACCAGGGCCATGTGCGTCGGTGTCGGGATGGCCTGAAGCGTGCTCGTCGCCTTTACAGTGCGAGCTCGCCCTTGAGCTCTCAGTGTCCAAGCACCTTCTGGTCCACGAAAGTCAGGAATACCTATACCAATCAGAGAATGTACTACACATGAAAGAACAAGTGATCAACTTGCCGGCTGAAGTCGAGACGCCTGCGCCCGTGAAAACAATGAAGTGCTTGCTCTTCTTGATAAGCGCCACGATCTCATCCGCCTGCTTGTCGATAACGTCTAGAGGATCGCGACGCTCCGGTGGCGCAACTTTTGGTGCGGAAGAAGCCATTTTCGTAACTTCGACTCAAACCTTACAATTGTAGTCAAATATCGGTCAGAGAATGCAGTGCTTATTTATTTAGCATGAGTTGCATGCATTTGCTGACATTCACGGTGTTCACGCTAGGCAGCAGCCCCGCTATAAGAATCCTTAACGTTTCATGAGTGATCCCTATGGGCAACCAATGGTAACCCTATCGCTTCCTAATCCTCGGGGGGCAAGAAAATATAAGACCTAAGTTTAGGATAATAAAATAAACTCCTATAAAAGGTATCCTAAACTTATCCTAAAGTTTTACTAAATTACCTAAATCTTTATCTTAATTAGGCTTAAAGTCTTAAGTTTTATTTCCTCCCCTAGCCAATGGAGAACCACGGGCTGTCAAATTACCCGTTTATATGGCCCTCTCCATTTTGGCGTGGAGTTGGGGAACCTCAATTCCAGTAACCTCGCCATTCCGACCCAACGTGAAAACAAAGCTGATCTCTGCATCAGCACCAATTTCCTGCCAAGTAATACATGTCGGGGTGCCCATGTCAATAGGAGCGCTCTTGTCCTGGAATACGGCAATGAACTGGTGTCGGCTTTCGTCTTGAACATTGGTCGGGTAGATTCTGAAGTCGAGATCATCGGCCTTAATGCCGAGTTTCTGGGCGATCTGTTTCTTGATGTTCACCCCACCAATCACAAGCTTCTGAACTTCAAGACCCCGACCTTTATCAGTGGTGTTAAAAGCAGCCTCAGTAGCCTTGCCTGAGTATGATCCAGCATAGCGCGCCTCAAGTTCTTTGGCGGCAATGACTTGCAGATACCCGAGAACTTCACTAACGATATCAGCGTGCACGTTGAGATCAAGCTTTCGGTCCTCGACACTGTTGTCATGGGCTAGAATAGCGAAGCCAGCGTTGAAGTCGGTGGTGAGCCCAAAGTAGCTCGCATATTTGCCAATAGTTCCGCTCTTAGTCAAGGCATCTAGGATGGGTGAGATGGCGTTACCCGCACGATAAACTTCCCAGGGTCGACCTACGCCGTTGCGAAGATTGGAAGTGTCGACATTGGGGTGAAGCCACCGACGGGTGACAGCAGGCGAAAGAAGGTCTGAAGCAAGAATAGAGTGTCCAGCGCGTGCGAGATCTTTGGCGGAGCTAACAAATGATAGGGCACTACAACGGTTGTTAGCCACATGTTCATCTTTTTGGATGATCAAAGTACCCTGGTTCACCAATAGCTGAAGTGTTGAGACTCTCCATGGCGAAGATATTTTCGACACCATGGCTCAAAACTCCACTGTCGCTCATGTTGAGAGACTGCAGAATGGTCTTGTCGAGAATTGAGGGCCAATCACCGCCATCACTTCGTTGCATGGCAAAGACCAAGAGCTGGAAAGCGGCGTAAGAGACAACTGGAGTTGTATCCGGGAGGAAGTATGGCGGCTTCTTCGCAAATGCCTTATGAAAAGCTGGAATTTGTATCAGTATGAGGGGACCAAATGGTATACGAAGAATTTCCACTTACCCTTCCAGTCACAAGACTTGCCAACAACACATATTCCGGCTACATCACTCGTTAGTCCAAGTACTGAATGACTTCGAGGGATAACATACACTCTCGACTGAGGCCAGACATTTGGCCAGCCAAAGCACCAATAGTGACTTCCTCCCAATTTACCGTAAGCGAGCCGTTGACTTCAACCAGTTCAGGCAGATACTTAGTGATAGGCGTCTCCCATTGCTCGCCCATCTTCACAAGCCAAGCATAAACAGTGAAAACCATGCTCACATCACCAACTGGAAATTTGGTATCCGAAGTAAGGTTTGAGTTCGACGCTTGATCCTCAGGTGAAGTATAGTGATACTCGAAGAAGACAGGATCATCTCGAAGGGATTCCGCACCACCGAAGATGACTACGGAGAAGGACGTAGTGTTAGGCGTTATTGGACCATATGTATCACTGCCACCGTTCTTGATGAGGCCGTCAAAGGTTTGAGTGAACTGAGAGGCAAGCTTCTTGAAAGACTCGGAGGATTTATCGATAGTGGGTGGAGGATAGTATGCACCCATGGGAGCGCATGCCTGGAAAGGAATGTCGTTGTTGATACAATCGTCTTTGGCGACAGTTCCGTGACTGAGGGCACCCAAGAGAAAGCTTATGGTAAGTGCGCGCATTGTTGATTTGTTATAAATTTTTGGTGAGTTGTTATGAGACGCGATGAACCAGAAAGCTGTTGATGAATGTGTAGAACAGAATGCGCCGAGAGGACTTCTTATACTTGCGCCTGAAGCACCCCGCATCAGACTAAAACTAGATTACGACATCTTCAGCGAGGCTTAGATGAAATTCTAAATGAAGATGCATCCTTTGACTTGGTATTCTGTCTCAATTTACTCGTCTTGTGGTGTTTAGAGGGGATGTCCACCACTGGAGGTTCCACTCAACCCCTTAGTCCGACTTACTCCGTATGCCGCCAGCTCACCACAATCGTTAGTCCGTATCTTACTCCGTACGGCACATCAATGAACAGAACCCAGCACCGAAGCCTCGTGACCCAAGAAAATCTATTGAAAAGGAAATCACTAAGTTCCATATCCCAGGTTAATAGGAAACTCAACAGGATCTGCAAAGAGAAAAGTGCCGATGTCCAGGTCAGGGTTTTGATACCAATCTGAGCTCATTGGCCAAGGACCGGCTATGAACGGCATTGATGCACCAACTGACAGGCTACTGGCATCAGTACCGACGCTCAATAGCGGTTGATCGTTGACAGAAGGACTTATAGAAACTGATGAATCCGGCGTTTGATGTTCAGCCTGTGACAGGTACCAATTTTCAAGCCGGCGTATTCGCTTCGCAAGACCATAGAATGGATGGTCTACTGGCGCATCCTGACCTGGTGTCGCTTCGAACCGCAAGACCAATTGGCGAAGTGTATGTCGCATATCCAAGAACCGACGAAGATGTTGCATAGATCCAGATATACTTCCCCTCGCAGCGACAAGATCAAGGCGAACAGCAAGGTTTAGACCGCAGTTCATCATGATCCAGCCCATGTTCGACATATACACCTCTTCGCCTTGTGGCATGACTAATATCACGCTGATTAGAGAGCGAGCGGCTGACATTCTCGCTGAAAGCCAGTCTATGAGCGAGCTTTCGTGTTCGAACTGGTTGTTGAACTTATCCAGACCAAACGATGTTCCTCTCGGTGATGGCTGGCTGAGTAATAGCTCTAAAATGTGGATCTGGAGAAGCAGAGGTGCTGTGAACCGTCAGCAAGAGACATGCTATGATACAGGACCTGGCTTACGGCTTTCACTTAGTGGAAAAGGAAGTGTTTCTTTGATCTCGGTGCACTTTTGCGAAATTTCCTGACATCCAGGGAAGAAATGCAGACCATTGTTAGTAGACACGGTGTTATTGACGAGATCTTCAACTCCCTCGATAAGAGTTTGCACTGTAATCATGTATGGAAGATATTTATCCGTTGGGTACTCGTTCCAAGATGCGAGGTGCTCGCAGCAAGCAGTGATGTATGGTGTATAAAAGAACTGGCGTGTTTTCTGAAGAATAATAGACGAGCTATGTTCTCTCAGCATTATTTCCAGTAGACTCGCTGGCTGACTCACCTTGAAGATAGGTAATACGCCCCTGCGAGTGCTCTCATCTCATCGGGACCCCAATCTGGCTTGTTCTTATCTTTACCGCCCTCGGCACTCCATAGCTTCGGCCTCCGAGGCTTATCGAGACGCAGGTCACTTATGATACTTGTAGCGAGATGCAGATGCTGTATGTATCTCTTTGGTTTAGCTTGATAGTGTGCCCTATTATCGTTAGCTATTACATTCATAGCATAGTGTCGAGCCATACCATGCAAGATTGATGAGGAGTCCCTGTAGCAGATCAAGTTGACAGAAGTCGCCTTCCACCATTTTGGCAGCAACAATTTGTTTGAATAAGTATCCAAGTCCTTTTTGAGTGGAGACGTCCGCATGTGAAGCTGCGGCGAGTGCAGCTAGACAAGCAAAGGGGCGCTCTGCGTTCAACTGCTCAACCGATACATCATTTCGAAAGAGTACAAAAGGAAAGTATGGGATCATTCGGGTCTTGTAGCAATCGAGCAAGTCTCTAGCAGCTTCAAAGGTTATGATTCCTCGTTCAAAGGGGTCGAATGATGCATTTTGGTTGAAGATGTCCTGCACTTTGCTGCTTGAAGATGCCTTGTCATAAGGACTTGTTGGTGACTTAGATGATTGCTCAGATTTGGATCTGACATCTAGCCTCTCTCTAAATACACCGGTCATGAGTCGTTCTCTTCTAAATATGAAGTTGAAGTTCTTACCTTTGGCGATTTACATTTTGACGGCGCCTAGCTTGGTTGAAGATACACGTCTTACCCAGCCTCAAACATCGATCGCAGGAATCGGAGTCCTGGGTTTTTGAACATCGAATCTTCAACGAAAAACATGTTTGGCACGTCTTCAATAACGGCAGTGGCGAGTCTCTGTTGTTTGACGAACTCATTATCGTTTCACGTTGCTTTTGCGAGCATGATGATAGCATTCTCCGTCAAGGATCGAGGATGAAGAGTGGAAGGTCACGTGAGACACGGAACTCCGTACGTGCATGATGAGGCTGTGTAGTAGCCGCGTAATCTGCGCAGCGAGACATCGTAATGGAGGATGATATCGGCACGATTATACTGTATCTTATGTCGTATTACTGTCTGATTCTTCCTTCAAAAAGGAAGTTTGTGTTGTAATGTTTGATGAATTGGGAAGCTGCGAGACTTTTTGGTGGTCCAGGTGCAGGGTAAGTCCATGCCGCGCCTCAGAGTGACAACGCGTCAAGGAACTAACTTCGGATAGATCCGGTTTCATGGACCCATGCTTGTCTGCAATGAGGGTCTAGTTATTTAGCATTTCTAGAGGTATAAAATGACGAAATGGGGGGAGTAAAATATTGACTTATGGTTGTCAAAGATATGTTGGTGATCAGACAGATTCTTGCTAAATTAAAGCCCAGATTTGGAGATCGCGTCCAAGACTCTTATCAATAATCGATAACATGGATATAACGTGATATGGTTTATCTCCGAACATCAATGGAGCAGACTCACGTGCTGTCGTGTTGAATGTGATCACGGGCTGACACCAAACTCCGGTTCCGCGTTGGATGCTCCGCGTGAATTGCTCCGTGACTCGGCGGGGGTTGCTGATCCCCCAATTCAGGACCCCCAACACTGAACCCCTCTAACCTCTACAAGGGATGGTAGAAAAACCAGGACCTTGAGTCCCAGTTGACAAAAATGCTTGAATGCGTCTAGGCTGAGCTGCGCAGCCTCCTCACTGGATTATTTCCACCAGCTAGTGCAAGCGTCGCAAGCTTTCTGGCATCTAAAGGCCCATCTACCATATTCTCATTATAGGTTACATCACGCAACACACGAACGCGCTTGTCACTTATTATTCCGTCCTCTCAACACCAAATGCGAAGACATTTGACGCGGGGAACCTTGTCTTACAGACCGTTAGGAAATTACAGGACTCGCTAAACCTCATTTCGGCTACGATCTGCGACTCTAGTCTACCGTTCGCGCAATGCCCAGCATTGTTCAGGTCATTCGTGCATTCGCGATCATCCGAAGTCATGAGCCCTTTCGGGGGCATCTCCACCGAGCCACGAGGTGCAGCGGAGGAAAGCCGTGATATGGCTGCTGCATCTGAACAGGATATATCTCCCGAAATTACATGCATATTCTCATTGTGGTTCTCTATGGCATCAAGACTGAAGGACATTGTACATAAGAACAGATGCGATTTCTGTCTGAATCACGCAACTTTTTCAGAAAGTAACTACTTCTTTTTTATAATTGTTATTTGGTAGTCGTATCATCATGTTGCGACAAGCCGTCCACTCATTTTTACTTGCTGCTTTTGCAGGTCAAGCCATGGCTGCTCCTAGCAACTCTTCTTCTTCATCCGCCAAAGTCCACTGGCTAGGTGAAAAGCCAGGCTTTACTTCAGGAACTACTTTTGGTCTACCGTGGCCTCAATCAAAGTATTTCCCCAAGGACACCAAATTCACTGCCTCTGGTGCTTCTGGTCAGGATGTTGACCTCCAATCGTGGGTCACTGGATACTGGGCTGATGGCTCCGTAAAGTGGACCGGTCACGCGATTGGAGCTTCGGAGGAAGTTCTTGATGAGTATGTTGTCAAGGCTGTTCCTTCATCAGAGGGCATCAACTCCACAACTTCTGCTGGTATCAACGTTACCAAGAGTTCTAGCAAGATCAAGGTCGATACTGGCAAAGTCACAGCTGTCTTCCCCAAGACGGGCTCTGTGATCGTCAAGGAGATTGAGACCAACGGCAAGCGCATCGCTCAGAATGGAAGACTTGTTCTTCAGTCGCAGAACGATGTTTCTCACCCAGGCGAGGACAAGATCAAGTCTTTCAAGACACTGCGCTTCCAGAGCAACATTGACAACGTCACTGTCAGCGACCAAAACTCTGCACGAACTCTTATCACTGTTCGCGGAAAGCATTCGGCAAGCGACAAGTCTGGCCATAAGTCTTGGTTGCCTTTTGTCCTTCGCTTTTACTTCTACTCTGGCTCTGAGTCGGTCAGGATCATTCACAGCTTGGTCTTCGACGGAGATGCCGACAAAGACTTCATCTCCGCTGTCGGTATCCGCTTTGACGTTCCCCTCGAAGGCGAGGAACTGTACAACCGCCACATCCGAATTGCGGGTGTTGAGGGCGGTCTGCTCAGTGAAGCTGTTCAGGGTATTACTGGTCTTCGCAGAGACCCTGGTGCAAATGTTCGAGCTGGTCAGTTTGATGGTAAGGAGCTGCCCGATATCTCGACCTGGGATGTTCGCGTCTCCAGCCGTCTTCACTGGATCCCTCCTTGGAACGACTACAGTCTGAGTCAACTCTCAGCCGACGGCTTCACTCTCAAGAAGCGAACCAAGGCAGGCCAAAGCTGGGTCTCCATCCCTGGCGGTACTCGCGCCGAAGGTCTTGCCTATCTTGGTGGTGCTACTGTTGGAGGTCTTGCCGTTGGTCTTCGTGACTTCTGGAAGCGATTCCCGACTGGCTTCGACATTTCTTCTGCCGCTTCTGACACTGGAAGCATTACCCTTTGGCTGTATGCTCCCTCTGCTGAACCCCTTGACCTCCGTCCCTACCATGATGGCCTCGGCCAAAAGAACTACACCGATCAGCTCGACGCTCTTGAGATCACCTACGAGGATTGGGAGCCTGGTTTCGATACACCCTACGGTATCGCACGAACCAGCGAGCTGTACCTGATTGCCTTCGACAAGACTCCTTCGCAGGAGACACTCTCGAAGCACGTCACACAGATCAACAACCCTCCTGTCCTCGTCCCCGAAAGCGAGTACATTCAGCAGACCAAGGCTATCGGCACATACTGGGCTCCCGCTGACACTTCAACTGCCGCCTCCAAAAAGCTCGAGGACAACATCAACTTCCTTGCCAAGTTCTACCAGTCTGAGGTTGAGCACCGCCGATGGTACGGCTTCCTTGACTACGGTGACTTCATGCACACTTATGATCCCGACCGTCATGAGTGGCGATACGACATTGGCGGTTACGCATGGGATAACTCTGAGCTGTCTCCCGATCTGTTCTTCTGGCAGTACTTCTTGCGCACAGGCCGCGAAGATATCTACCGTTTTGCCGAAGCTCTCACACGTCATACTGGCGAGGTCGACGTTTATCATCTCGGTAACTGGAAGGGTCTTGGAACGCGACACGGTGTGCAACACTTCAGTGACAGTGCCAAGCAAGCCCGTATCTCACAGCCCCAGTACAGAAAGTACTTCTACTACCTTTCCGGCGGTGATGAGCGCATTGGCGAGCTTTTCGAAGAGCTTCTTGATACCGATAAGACATACGGTGTTCTTGATCCCCAGCGAAAGGTCCGCAAGGATGGTTGGGTTCCTACACCAAACGCGACCGTTGCCTTCAGCTTGGGCACAGATTGGGGCGCGCTTGCTGGTGGATGGCTCATTGACTGGGAGCGCCGCGGCCCTCGATGGGAAGAGTCCAAGGCGAAGCTCACCAGCACTGTCAAGAGCATCGCCAAGCTCAAGAACGGGTTCGTCACTGGCAATGGTCTCTACAACCTCCAGAACTGGACCCTTGGCCCACCTCCCTCCGATCCCGATAACAAGGGTCACGTCGAAGTCTCGCATCTGAACGCCGTGTTTGGTCTCCCCGAAGTTGTGTCTGAGCTGATTCTGTACTTCGGCGATGATCTACCAGAGGGTTTTAAGCAAGCCTGGCTCGACTACTGCTATTATTTCGAGGCCACTGCTGCTGAGCAGAAGGCTCGTTACGGTGTTGACTTTGGAAAGCTGAACTTGTACCAGGGTCACTCGCGTCTCACGGCATATGCTGCGAACCAAGAGAGCAATACGACCAAGGCCAATCTTGCTTGGACAAAGTTCTTTGAGAGTGATGGATTCAAGGCACCCACCGCCACGTTTACTACAACCGAGATTCCGGAGCACGAGGGACTTATTCCAGGAGAAGAAGCACCTTGGATTTCTACGAATGATGTTGCTCAGTATGGATTGGCGGTAATTCAGAATCTTGCTCTTGCTAGGGACGCTCTTGAGGATTACAAGCCAAAGGCCTAAGGGCTTGCGCTTTGACAATCTCAATTTTCTGTACATAATCTCCTTTCAACTCCCATCCCGGATTCCCTCTTCTTTCTTGTTCAGTCCGTAGCTTTCTTGATCAGCCGAAATGTCAAACCAGGAACCTCTTCTCCATAAGCCAAAAATTCTATATAGTCCGTACACGCAACGTAAATGGGACATCGCACGACTTCGTAGGCATCCCCTTGATACGCCCGTAACATATCCTCCTGTTCTTGTGTTTCAACCTGTAATGCAATAGAAGTCAAGGACATAAGATCTTCAACATTGTTGGCTGGACTGAAATTTCCCATATAACCTCCTCCGATAATCTCAGCCGTATAAAATCGAAGATTGTCACCCAGTAGCTCGACCAATACACTGGGATCAGCTAGGTCTCCGTAAATGAAGTACCAAACAGGGTACTCATTCTGCGCGGGGCATGGCTCATCATGCACGTACTCTAGTCGTTGATGAGGTAGCGTTGATTCGATGTCCAATGTCGGATGCAGTGAGGGAGGTGAAAGGCTCTTTCTTGCTGGATTCCAAGGGATAAAGGTTGGAGAAAAGCCAGAAAGGCTCAGATTTGTCTTGAGGTATGCTTCGATGGCGGCCTTATTGATAGCGTTGATCTCGAGAAAATAGCAGGGGCCAGAAATAGCACCCTCATCAGGTGATGGGATGCCGGCTGCCTGTGCAACAGTCTCAGGAGAATCCAAGGGCCATTCAAGCTTGATCAAGAACTTTGCAGCTTCAAGTTTACGCCTGTGCCTCTCTTGAGCTTTGAGCTCGACCATCGAGGCTTGGATTTCGCGTCTTACCTTCGCCTCAAGCTCTTGTTCCGAGACTGCCTTCGACACAGCCATGTTTAAGAGTATTGGAGTGACTTGCGATTATCTTCTGATTCCAATATATCTTGGAAAATGTTCAAATGATCGGGTAGGATCGTGATTGTGAGGTCGTTGATGTGATAAATCTGGATGGTTAAGCGAGGGGCTGAGGGCGAAATATGATTACGGTAAGGTGAGGACCTGGTCAAATTTTTGAGAGGACCAGGCATTCTTTTATATGTCTCAAATAGCATCAAAGGCAATAAAATAGGTCTGAGTCATGCCGATGGTGAGATGACTTTCAGAATTGTGTTTTTAAAAACCTTGATTATTTAAGTACGAGGTGATTGCTGATTGATACTTAAAGCTTATGACGCCTCGGCGAGGCATATCAAGCCACCACACTGAAAAATCCCATTTAACACGCAGGTGATTGCTGCCTGTGAGGTTAAACCTCAGACTGCTAGCATATTTGAAGAGAGCGTGATATCTTATTGAACACAGTATAAGCTTCGACCGAGAAACATCCTTGTTGTATAAAATTGAACTCTATGACGGCCCTGGCCACTGAGATCACCGCGACACGTTTAAGTTAACTACCCCCCCACATGATGCCTCGTAGCAAGCAACACAAAACTCATTCTTCGCAAAACTGTCCCCCCCTCCCCACTTGAATTCGCGGCGACGTGCCTGGAATTCTGAAGGGGTATAACCAGGCACGTTAGGTTGTATAGTCTGAGACCGTCCGTCTTTTGTCCCATCCCCTATAGTAACGGAGCTCCTGCTCCAAATCCTCTGTAAGTAATGTTAGCACCTCTGAATACACTTTAACCAAACACGGAAACATACCCGCTTTCTTGCGTTCTCTTGCCTCGTGGAGCTTGCGCTCCACGTTCTTGAGAGCCCAGCGTGACTCCCTCGAAGCCTCATACATGGCCTCCAACTCGCCCAGGACCTTGCTGTCCCGGTAGCCGAAGCCCCTTTGCCTCCTCTTGATGACAAGGAGATCTCCCTCCAAGTCCAAGTCCCTGGCCTCTCTGTCGAGGCGTAGAGCGTCTTGCTCCTTGCGACGTTGTGGGTCGCCGCGGTAGTGCCTTTCTACCACTGGGACGTGGCGGAAGGGCCGTGTGGTGTGGACCGGTATGTAACCCGCTGGCACACCGGTTCCGTGAGGCTGGGGGCCCTTGGTAGTAAGGGCGCGTCGCAGTGCTTGGAAGATACTCATCGTGAAGTAGATAGTGGAGGATGTGGATGGAGTGATGAGTTGGTAAGAGTTATTGAGGGACAAGACAGGACAAAGCGATGGTATTTATAGTCACAAAACTACAATACTTTATACTATGGTGCCATAAAACTTTCCTGGCTGTGAATATAAAGGCCAAAACGAAAGTTCAGTCAAGCAGGGCGGACCTCTGAAGTTAATGCGAGAGCAGATAAATAATAGGTGAAGATGATAACGTTTAAATGTAGCCTGAGTTAGTTTATTGAAAAGTCTAAGAGCGGGAATAGCATCAAATCCCAAAGTTTGCATGGCAAAAGTTTAGCATCGAGCCTCGATGGCGAATGAAGAGCTCCTATTGATTGATTGGTAGCTAAAGCTTATGACCTTTCGAAGGGACGTATCAAGCTAATACAGTGTAAAAGTCCCAACTAAGTTCAGGTTTTGGAAGGCAATATGCACATGTTGGCTAGTTTTGATTAAAGTCTAAGCAGATTTACCCCGATCTTGGAATAGTCAGTCAAAATCTCAGAAACAAATGGAATAGTTTAGCTCAAGTCCAAAGGCTCTAATGATTTCATAACTATGGCGCTAATTTATATACATTTTCGTCTAAGCCTTCATGATCTCAGAAAGTCTAACAACACTAGCACTGACAGTGTTGTTTCCACCAGCAGGAGGAAGAATGCCCGCACCCATGATCATCAGCAGATCAGGATCCTTCTTGAAAGTCATAAGAGCGCGAGTGTACGCTGTAGGCTGAGGAACGCTCCACTTCTTCCAAGCAGATGCATCACCAAGAGCCTGGTTGGTAAAAATCTCAGACATGGTACCGCAGCTAACAACAATGGTACCGTTCTTGCCACCATAAGGAGTCCAGACAACGTAAGGAGAACCAGCGGGTCGAGCACCGTCGGTAGAGATGATCTGCTGACCGGGCTTGTTGAGGAACTTCTGGGGGTCCTTGGAGAGGCGGTAGAAGACGGGGAACCAGTAGGTGCTGCCGGCGGGAGGGTTGGGACCGCCACCGTACTCGTAGGTGTAGATGTACTCGTTGTTGGGGAGCTTGGCGACGGTAGGCATGCCAGGGCGAGCGTAGTAGTCATCGTACTTGGTGTCCTCAACAACCTTGCTCCACTTCTTGAGATCAGTGGTGGTCTGGTGAACGAGCTTTTGGGAGTGAGTAGCGTTGTCGCGCTGATCAGAATAGTACAGAATGAGCTTCTCCTTGTATGTCCTGAAAGATATTAGCAAATGATCTATTGCATTATTAGAGCTTCACTTACATCAGGAAGGGTTCCCAAACGGGGGTAAGCCCATGCTCGGGCTTGGCCTCGCCACCAAGAGCAACATGGCTGACGAACTCCCAAGTTTCACCCTTATCAAGACTAGCATAAACCTCGATAAGAGTCTCGCTCAAATCAGTGGGAATACTGCTGCCCGAGATAAGAACAGTGCCCTTGGGGTACTTTCCAAATCGACGGGGAAGCTCATAGAGCTGAGGCTGATATCGCAGACCCCAGTTGTTCTGAGTATCCTGGACTTTGGAGAAAGGCTTCCAAGTCTTTCCGCCATCCTTGCTCCTCACAATTGGGAACCAGACATGAGGAGGCTCGGGAGAGTAGTTCTCCCAAGTTGCCAGAAGTGTACCATCTGAAAGCTCAAGAGGACGAGCGTAGAGGACCTGAGGGTCGTTGTAGTTGGAGGGAGGATCAAAAATCTCAACGTTGCTAAAGGTCTTGCTCTTCTGAGCAGGCTTTGCCGCCACGAGGGGCAGCAAGAACGAAACAATGGCTGCAAAACGCATCTTGAGGCCTGTTTCTGTTGTCGATGGCAGGTTGCTGAGCTCCAAAAGATGCGGTCAAGATTAGACTCTTATATAGTCACCTCGCGCTTAAACCGTCGCATAACGATGACATCTCCGCCGAGGTAGTGTCATTTTACGTAGCGTCATTGTCTCTATTCCGCTGCGGAGAAATTGAGCCCCATCGTCCGGGGATGTTAGTGATAAATCTGGGGAATATGGGGAAATGATTGGCGCGCAAAGTGAGGAATCCATGCTTAACTTGATGCGCGCCAATCGGCAAGGCTCAACAGTTCGGCAGTCCAGCAAGGGTGAGCAATTTGGCTCGTGAATGAATGCGGGGGCATTCTTTTGATAGGAGCGATAAATTCTATGATTCGGTAAGTTAGCCACCGAGATCAGCAGATTGATTAACGCTGTGGGCTAATGCAGTTGCTTGTTTTGGGTATTCGTCGGCGAACGATGGGGGTTGGACCCTGGTCAGAGTTTGGTAGCCTCGGATTAAGGGTGCAAATAGAGGTTAGGCATTGAGGCTCAGAACAACACGAGACCTGGAATCAGGGATAAGGGTGACATGCAACAGTGTAGTATTGTTCTAAAGTTTAACCATACAATTGGGTGTTCGAGATCGGCAGGCCCGGGCAAAGGGCAGCTGTCAGAGATTGAACACATACCGGGCACTAGTACTTGCTCGACTTCCGAGAGCCCGTCTTACCAAAGCATTAGACCATGTTCTCTGAAAATGAAGATACAGAACATGCATCTGAGGGATCACTGGTGAAAGAAAGGCTGTCGCTTTCCCAGTTAAGACCTGTCAACTAGTATCTCCATCTCACAGCAGAATTCGTAAAGGCAACGCTAACAGTGAAGCAGAAAGTTCAGTTGGTAGCAACTGTGACTGCAGTGCGGTCCATTTTGAAACTGATTACGAGACAAAACCTACCTAATTGACCTTTCTGGGCCTATGAAGAGTATCCGTACAAATTTTGGAGTGGTTGTGGGCTCCAACTAGCCACTGCCAGTGTCAAGCCTACACCGGCGGCGTTATGCCAATTTGAAGCCACTACGGCCTCTGGGAGTATGATGAACAAGACTTCGTACTCACTCAATTCGGAGTGTTTAACCAGATCTCATTGAGTTCGCTGTGCAATTCAGCCGTTCACTTGCTCATCTCATCTGACACTGGGTAATCATCGCGAACATAACTCACGGACGCTATAGCCAAAGCACGCTATAAATACCCCGCCACGTCACATCTTACCCATTCCCTCGGATCACATAAGCGCCATCAGCTCAACCTTGATCAACTCACCCCAAGTATCACCGATCAATACCATTCAAACTCACATACAGTCTCGTGAAATCACCGCTTTCGCCAATCTCTGTGTCGCCAGCCAACATGAGCGTCCAGGCCAAGTCCCTCTCCTACATGGAGAAGCTCTCCAACGAAGTCTTTGTTTACCGCCCTTCTAAACCTACCGCGCCGGACTCCCCGAAGATCATCATCATCGCTAGCTGGACCAATGCGCTTGATAGCCACATCGCCAAGTATGTCGATAAGCACAAGGAGTTATACCCGACTTCCCAACTTGTTCTTGTGAAGAGCTACAACAAGAACTTTTTCGACCCAAAGGCTCTCGCTGAATCGCCAAGACCAGCTGTGCCAGTCATTCGAGCCTCCTTCCCATCCGCCCCACCATCAACCGCTAAGCCAGAAATCATGATTCATCTCTTCTCAAATGGCGGTTCGTCGAATATCTCATCGTTGTATGATGCGTATGCGGCGACTGCCCAAGAAGGCGAAGATCCCTGGCTTCCGCCTCACGTAACAGTATTTGACTCAGCACCAGGTGCTCAGCGCCTCACCAACACAGCAGCATTTTTCAAATCTACTATTCCAAAATCATATCGTTTGGTTTGTATGCCATTTGTCTATGGTGTTGCAGCTGCATGGCAGGTCGGCTGGTTTCTCGGTCTCACGAAAGACTGGCTAGCTTTCTGGGGTTCGACGCATAATACCGCTCAGGGCAAGAGGGAGCGTGAGATTCGACGAACTTATATCTATAGTGAGGGGGATGAGTTGATTGACTATAGAGATCTGGAGGCGCAGGCTGCTGAGGCGGAGAAGATGGGCTTTGATGTTCATATGGAGAAGTTTGATGGGTCTCTTCATGTTGCGCATGCGCGAAAGGATGAGGCGAGATACTGGAGCGCTGTCCAGAAGACTTGGAGTGGTTTTGAGTAGCCAGCCTGTATCTGACTTGAAGATAGCAGCCTTCCGAGCTGTTCCATGGGCTAAAAGCCAGAGATATCTTAGCAGAAGAGTGATTCATCGGGGCTAAAGTGAGATTAATCCTCACCGACATACTATGTAGTCACCCAAATGTAACATGTTTACAAACATATAACACTTAAATACATGGTTTCAATAGCAGTGATTTGAACAATTACGTAGGACAAATAGGTTCGTTGCCCAGAAGTGAATTCCCCAATTGTAGATCGGGTACGGAAAAGTCAACATCAATATATTCTTCCATGTCCTTAGGACCAAAACCATATCAGAGCGCACAAATGCTATTCCTAACCATGAATGTCTCGCTTCTAACCCTCTGTATATGATATCACCCGCTTCGCACTCCGCTGTTATGGAAAAGTCATGATGATAATGATCCCATATTGCTCGGTGCCATCCTTAAGAAGAGAGAGTTTCTACATGCTTTGAAGGTTCTAGTGGCTCCCTTCCTTCCGACGTATTCTCACGTGAACAATATGAGCCTTGGATCAGGACGTATTTACTTAACTATGTAGATAGACTCTTCAAAATGGCCAAATGCCTCAACATTTCAACGTCGTCTGTAACCGTGTCGTGCTTTGATAGAAGTGAGCCTGTTATTTGTTCTTTGTAGGCGTTGTTGACTGGTGGGTATGCCTTCCCCTCCCAGCTAACCCACGACCAGCTTGGCAAATATGGTGGTCCCTGTGCCGGACTTGCTAAGGCCCAGAAATCTAGTTCAGGGACGTCTCTACCGGCTCGCGGCATTTACTATCGGTCCAACAACCAGACAGAAGATTGTCAAGGTATAGGGATTTCGTCTCGAGCAGAAACTTTGTTCGATGGCCTGCCTAGAGGCAAACATTTTTGATCTTGTGCTTTTAAAGTCAACATAGTAATTTGCGTGTCCATGAAATTTCTCGGATGGCCTGAAAGAGACGGCCCGCAGTCAGCAAAGATCACTGGCTGTCGGCTGCATAGATGAACCAAGACTCTTGACTGGCTTTCCAATCACATGCCGTTTTACTAGGGTCTTCATCCAAGTGTTGGTCTTGAACAAAGTACTGGTTATGCAGTCGCAATTTGTAGGTTTATGTCTTTGTTCATTCGGCAATCGCGAACCATTGCCAGATTCATCGCCATAGCCAGTGTCCTATCAGCCATAATAACCAGTAGACTAATGCTTAGTCCTCATAGCCAAACCCAATTTTAGCATCGATGTGATTTGTTCAGCCACTTATCCTTTGTCCAACACCCATACTGTACATCAGTCTCTGTTCAAAGCCTCGATATGGTGATTGTTGTTTCGACAACAGGAGGAACAACAGTGATGAGTACCACGTTCAGCGAAGGGGCTACGTGAGAATCGATGTGCCAACCAATCAATGGTGCAAGAAATTTGACATGAATGCTGGTCGGACGATTAAGGGTGCCTGTTCCAAATGTTCAAAGAACACTAGATTGCATGATCAATACTTGAGGAAAATCAAACTAATTGTCATGCTGAACATCAACATGCAATATGAGTGATAGAGAACATCTCATGACTACGCACTGTTGACTGAAATCCTTTAAATAGCACCTTTCCATCGCCTCCAAATCCGCCATCATCCACGATCTCAACCACCTTCACAGCAACTTTCACAGCAGCCTTCAGATACTATCTCAACATTACCCACAAAAACACTACCAATGACTCTCACAAGGTAAGCTCTTCCGCATCTTTCACCATGTGTCTCACTACCTTCTGGAAGCACGAATGTTACATTTGCCACCACGCCATCAAGGAGAACGCTTCTCTTCAAGACCCCGCGATCACCGGTACTTGTTCAGCAGGGTGTGGTGAGCCAGTCCAGGTAAAGCTGCAGTGGCGCCTCTGGATCTGCCCTCGTTGCGAGGAAGAAACAGCTACTGACCAGCCCAAGTACCCCCCTACAGGGCAGCAGCAGGAGCGCGTCGCTGCGTATATGTTCCTGGATGGAACGGAGCCCCAGAATCAGTATCGGCGCCAGGATAGACCTCAGCGCCGGAATGAACCTCGTTTCCAGGATGCTGCGCAGCTCCAGGGTGCTCCACGAGTCCAGGATGCTCCGCGGTCCCAAGACGCTCCGGGGAACGCGCCTTTTCAGAGCAATGCAGGCGGTTATCGCGCCGCTCCGCAGTATCCTCCTCAGCTTCCTGAGCAACGCCCCCAGCACTTCCAGACAGGTTATCCTCCTCGTGTCCAGAACGAACCCCGCCGCCAGGGTCGTCGTGAGAGCCATAGCCATAGCCATAGCCATGGCCACCACCACCACCACCACTACTAGGTCGGTGGGGATGTCCTAGGTAGCTTGTCAATGAGTTTTCCATTCCTCGGTGTTCACGATGATAAGTGGTTACATGATGAACTACCAGGGCCGTGGTGAAATTCTGAAAGAAAGGAGAAAAACCAACTAGAAAAAATTTGAAAATTCGAGGTAAGCCTATAAAAAAGGGGGAATTGATAGGAGGAATAAGGTATCACAACGGAGGAAATGTTCTTGAAATTATATGGTGAGTATTAGACTAGATGAATCAGGGGTAGATAGATTGCTAAAGAGAATTATTTTGGCAAACTTTGTGCATAGAACGAGTGCTTGCGTAATCATGAATTTTGTGACTGAATAACCATTTTATATCGATCATCTCAGAGGAAGAGCAGAATTATCAGACATGAATTGCCCCTGTAGAATTCTCATCATGGTTAGGTTTAGACAAAACAGTTGTACCTTAACTAAAAGGTTCGCTGCTTTGAGATGTCGTATGATCAAACCCTTGTTATCCATCTGCATGCACGGCGAACTCAACCAACAGATGACAAATCCTGACTAGGATTGTGATTTCATACAAAAACAAGATTTCTCCGGGCGGGGAAGCTCTCAACATTGCGTGATTAAATAATTTCCATCAAAATGGCCGAACCAACTATCAACACAGAGCCTGACCTAGTACCAGATGAGCAGGTCCCTCTACCTCATCCAAAGAAGCATGGATATTATCACTAACCACGAATTTTAGTCTGAAGAAGAGCATGATTCGTCGATTGGATCGGTAGGTTGCTTCTCAAGAATGCTTGTCGTTGTCGATCTGATCTAGTGGAAAAGAGTCTAGCATCCACGTCCGAGAGCTTGCGGAGCTCTATTCTAGACTATCGAAAGGAAAACGGCAGAACCTATCATCGGTATAAGGATGGGAGTCAGTCTCTTTCACCGCTTATTCCTTTGCAGTTAGCTGATGATTACAGAGTATAATCTTCCTAATGACGACGTCGAGAAGGAGAGGCTCGGTATGACAATGTCTCGACGGACTGGCTTCACTACTGATCCCTTCGGCTAGATCTACAGCATAATCTCTTCATCTTAATGCTCAACAACAAACTTGGCCTTGCGCCTCCGAATAATCCTGATTCTAAGGCCAAGCGTGTTCTTGACGTTGGCACCGGGACAGGAATATGGGCCATCGACTACGCTGACGAACATCCTGAAGCAAAAGTGATCGGCGTCGACCTCTCACCAATTCAGCCTGATTTGTATTCTCCATCATCAATTTTCCATGGTCTTAGCTAATTATGATTAGTGTTCCTCCGAACGTGGAGTTCTTTATCGATGATATCGAAGAGCCGTGGAACTTCTCTGATCCGTTCGACTATGTTCACAGTCGAATGATGACGTTTAGCATCAAGAGCTGGCCGAACCTTGCGAGCAGCATTTATGAGTAAGATCAATGACTACGTGGAGGACAGTGAGACTGATTACCGTTCCTTAGCAATCTTGTTCCGGGTGGCTACGTGGAGCTTCTCGAAATTGACCTGTTCGCTCATTCAGACGACAACACCTTAACTGAGGATCATCATCTCTCCAAGCTTATCCACCTTCTTGACGAAGCATCTACCAAGATTGGTCGCCCATTTCAGGATAATAAAAAGAACAAGAATATTCTGCGCGATGCAGGATTTGTGGACATCGTAGAGACGGTTTTTAAGTGGCCGACGAACCGCTGGCCTCTGGATAAAAGGTATAAGGAGATTGGTGAGTGGAACAATCTCAACATGGATAGTTTCAAGGGTCTTGAGGCGCTTTCCATGGCAGCTTTGACAAGAGTTCTGGGGTGGACACAGGAAGAGGTTACGGTCTTTTTGGCAAAAGTCAGAAGGGACCTGAATGACAGAACCATTCATGCTTATTGGCCGGTGTAAGTTCAGGATACCTGATTGAAGCTCAAGTACTAACCTACTAGATACTCAACTTATGGAAGAAGACCTCTCGCCTGAGCCGGCGGAAAGGGTGAGGAACAGTGGCGCTGTTCAATAATGTTGTCATGGATGTTTATCTAACCGAGTGCTTCGACCTAGAGAACTACCCCAACGACCATGAATAACATACTCAGTACCCCAATAGAGGTACCCAAGCGCTGTGCACTGTCTGTCACAGGGGCTGCCCCGCCTGTAGATGATTCCTGAGCAGTACTTGAAGCACTCTCAGCGCCCTTGGTGCTACTGGTGGTTTCCGCATCTGATGTCGTAGTGGCCGAGGCCGATGTCACTGAAGATCCGTGTGAAACGTGCGAAGTAGTTAAGGCAGCGCTAGTAGTTGAAGACGCGGAAGAGGTGCTAGTCGCCTCCAACTTGATACCACAAACTTTCTCGGCGTCAAAGGTGAAGTCGAGGTTCCTAGCCTGACATCCTGTATGCTGGCGCTCGACAGATTCTGCACACAGCTCGTTAGAGGAGCTCAGTCTTCGCAATTCGAATTATACTGACCAGGCATCACATCTGCGTCGCATTTCTTGGCCATACAGCAGAAATACGCCTCACGGTACTTCTTCTGGGTGCACATACAGGCAGGATCATTGGTACATGAGCCGCCCGGGAAGCTGGCATCGAAGCAGCCATTCTGAAGCATCTGTTAGTTCTGAGACTCATGAATGTGACTGGGGCTACTTGCATCGCATTCTGACTTGCGTAACTCGGCTCCTTGGTCGAACTGCGGCGATGCGACAGCAAGAGCTGAGCCAAAAAGACTCAAGATCAAAACTGCGGGCGCGCGGACCATCGTGTGAGCTTGGAAGAAATGGATTTGATGAAGCCGACAAAATATTCTGTAGATCTTCTCGTCTCTCGTGGGTTTGATTGAGCCACAGGACAGAGGACAATGAGTTGACTTTCTGATGAGTGTTTTCGTGTCGCAACGCGTTGCTGCGGCGTCATGAGAAACACGATGATTATGGCGCTTGGCTGGATTGGGCAGTTGACACCAGTGCTGAAATTGGAATAGTTGGAGCGGAGGCAAAAGGTCAGACATAACACATTGAGCAAGACATCTTGGGGTCAATAAAAAGGCAAGATAACCAGGAAGTTGAAGCAGAATTGACTTGTCGGCAGAATTTATAAACAAGTCACATCCGTTCATATAGGAACAACTTCCAATACTAATCAATCCGTCAAGTAATTTATATGACTACCTCCAGTAAAGAGAGCAAGAAGGCTTGGTGATCTCCATGCCTCATCCAATACCTCCAAAACCTCTTCTGGCAACGGGCCTTTCTCAACATTATCCAGATTACTCTCAAGCTGGCCGAGCGAGCTGATACCAATAACCAACCCATCATTTCCATCCATGACCTTGAGCTTGCTATGGTGAACAAGCCATCTGAACGCGATCTCCAAGAGCGTCAACCCCAATTTATCAGCGACAGGTTGAATCACCTTCAAAGCCTCAAAATTGACATCTTTGAAGTATCTATCGCGATACATCGCTCCAATCACCGGGTCCTGGGTCGAGTACCGACCACCGTCGGCAGGAATCTCTTTGCTTTTGTAGCGACCTGAAAGTACACCACCAGCCAAGGGATTATAGACGAGAATATCCATCCCAAACTTTCGACAGCACGGAACGAGTTCTTCTTCTATGGCGCGTGTCAGGCAATTGTACATAGCTTGGTAAACACTTGGTTTGACCCATCCTTTCTGGTCAGCGATGGTGCAAAGCTCAGCGACTTCCCATGCCGCATAATTGCTCAGGCCAAGCTTCTTGAACTTTCCCTCTTGATAAAGCTCATTGCAACTCTCAAGCGTCTCCTGGAACGGAACAGAACGATCTGGTGCGTGCAGGTAAAAGATATCGACGCTATCGGAGCCAAGCTCACTAAGACTCTTGTTCAAATTCTCCTTCACAATAGCTTTGGAGTGATCACCAGGCTTGTAAGGATACCACTTTGTAGCAAGAGTGAGATTGCGCTCTCGCCAGTTGGTACGCTTGGTCCAGCCTTCTTGCTGGCCGCCGACGTAGGTTCTGGCTGTGTCGACTTCATTGTAGCCACGAGACTGTAGGTAGTCGAGGCACTCATTGAAGGTGTCGAGGGAGGTAATGCGGCTTCCGTGGGTTTCTGAGCCTTCAGGGCCGAATGTCAGAAGCCCAAGACTGACGCGGGGCTTGGCTTTTGCGGTTCCAGTCATGGTATAAGTTGTGGATTGAAGTATTTAAGGGGAAGAGTATAGCTTCTGGGGAAGGGATATCTCATAGGCTTTACGAATTGTCATGTATCAATTCAGCTCGTCTCGGGACATATATAGCCAGAGATTATCGCATAAAAATACAGAATTCTCGGATGCGATGCCGTTATCTGATAGCCGACACCTTTGGTGCGTAAGGAATGTTTCCGCGCTCATAACTGTTGTTAACAGAGATCCGAAAAGTCAGCAGGCGTCGGCTTCAACACGAAAGCCGATCATATCTAGAAGGACTGTGGATTAATGACCCCGCATTCTCTGGTCCTGGTTTTGGCGAATCGTTGCATCGCAATATAGACTCTCAGTATTAAGTAGCTTCGGCTTCTAAAGCCGTGAATCATGCGCTTGTGGAAGAAGGAGCCGTTATCATTGGAACTCATAGCAAATAAATTATATACTCACTGAAAGCCGATCTTCTATCCAAGGTTATATAGGCTGAGTTACCATATAATTTAAGAATATTCATCTCGAGCACCAGTAATCTCGCAGCCTCACATCTCCGCGATCATGACAACCTTCAACCCCCGAGGTCTTGGCGACGTCAAAGTCACAGACCGATTTGATCTAACCGGTAAAAACTTCCTCATCACAGGTGGAGGTGGAGGTATTGGTTTCGCATGCGCCAAAGCTATAGCCCAACTGGGTGGCGGCGTCGCTGTCATCGACACAGCTCCTGAACCGGTAGAAGAGTTCAAATCTCTGAGTGACCGCTATGGCGTCAAGACATTCTACACGCGAGGTGATGTCACCAAGCAAGACTCGCTTGAGAAGGCTTTTGCCGAGTGTGTTGATGCCATGGGCGGACAGCTTCATGGAGCGCTTACGGCGGCTGGCATTGTGATGGATACGCCTTTGCTCGATGCTGACTGGGAAGTCACCCAGCGAGTTCTTAACGTCAATGTTATGGGTACATACTGGACTATCAAACTCCTGGCGCAACATCTTGTCGAGACCAAAACACCTGGAAGTATTGTTGCCATCGCCAGCATCAATGCACAAAGTCTCTACGTTCCAGTGCAACCGAAATCCGCTTATAATGCGAGCAAGGCAGCTATCAAGGGCCTTATGGGTCCCCTGGCCGGCGAGCTGGGTCAATATGGCATCAGGGTTAACTGCATCTCGCCAGGTATACCATCTTCGACAATCTTAGCGATTGCGCTAACCATGGGCTAGGAGCGATCCAAACACCTCTCTTGGCGCGCTTGCAGGGAGAGAAGAGAGCTATCCTTGACTGGTACGAGAAGGGGTCCCCGTTGCAACGGCTGGGCGTGCCGGAGGATTTGACGCCTATGGTGTGCTATTTGTTGAGCGACGCAGCTGCGTTTACTACAGGTGCAGATATGCTTGTTACAGGTTCGTTCCATATCATTGACTGGCTATGAGATACCTGACTCTATTGTAGGAGGGTTACATGCAGGGTCAGCTCTAAAGTGAAGAGTATCTAGGCGCAGGAATAAAAGTGCGGGAGTCTATGTTACTACAGGAGATTTTGGGCCAAGAGTATCATGAGATGAAGTACACGCTAAGATAAAGTCATTAAATAAATAGGGTCGTGTAAGAAATGTTAGGCATGATTTAATGTACCACTCTTGCTTGCGATCATCCGTACGCAATACACAGAGACGGCAATAGGTTCTCCGACTCTCCGTGCTCCCCAAAGTTTTCGAATCTTCTTAGCTCAGGTTAGTTGTAATCTAAACTTGATTTCGAGCTCCAAAATAAAGATTCATCTTTTGTTGACAACTGGTTCCAAGGAGTAGCTTCGCTGGTCCGAAAACTAACGGGCGTTACGTTGTTTAGGGTAGTGTGTCACACAAAGCTTCAAGACACCTTCACGTCAAGCTAGTGGCAAGGATGTGTCGAGCAGCCTTCGGTAGAGGTTTTCCAAGAGAAATAAAAAAGACTGCTAAACGGATCCTTTGAGATCCTTCGACATGGATAATCTCAAGCTCTGAAACCAAATTCGATATGATCGTCCCTGAATTGAACTGCATTGAGCAAAAGTTTCGATAATTTATCTTATCGTGCCGATTTCCCGCCTTATCTAAACGCTCGGTGGGGCTCTGTTTTGATCTTCGTGCACTAGACCGCTTTTGACGACCCATTCGAGCGACATCGTCACTCCTCTAAGCCACGTTCGAATGGAAATGCTAAAAGCAGGAATTCATTCGAACTGCAAGTGCCGATCTCGCACTGCCTGGGAGGCCGCAATAACAAGCATTAACCTTATTTTCTTGTATCAATTTGAGATCTCATCAAAGAAGTCTTTTTTCGCGTTGAGATTGGAGAGCTTGTTGATCCTATCACGGGCCAGAATATGGTTGAAGCTAAGCTAGAGAAGGATATTTAAGGGTCCAGATGAATCCCTTGGCAGAGCGTTGAACAGAGTGGATTCAAACTACTCCCATTGTCCTATCACTTCCTCCCAATGCCGACTTTTCACGTCGACATGGTACAGCCACAAAAGTAAGCCAGCCGGCCGCTCTCACTCAGACCAACAAATCACAACAGCCTGTTCGTCCCCAAGCTCCCAAACCCCTGGCGAGTATGAGAGGCTGACACGCTGATCCCTGCATCTACCGGACAAGCCCGCGGAGCACCCCGTTGTCCAACGACACAGAAAAGGTGCCAATGTCGGCAGATCGGTCGTATCAATGGTCGTTTTGGTGGGAGAGCTATGCCGTAGGGCTGACGCTGATCCATAGCTGGCTGTGCTGATACTGCGCTTAGATTAGTATCTGAGGGTTTCATTGCAGGGGTTTTAGCTTGGGGATGACGACGTTGGGATTTGTATATATTGAGCTTGTGTCGCTGGTTGCGAAAATTCATCATCTCATCTTTACCACAGACAAGCGACTACACCTTAGCATCTACTTGCTTCTTTTTTCTTTTTCTTGACTTTATAGAAAAACACTACGATGGGTCTCTTTAGAAGCGGCGACGACGATAAGTCGAACGTTACCTGCCCTACGCATTCTTTCGCCCAAGGTACTACCAGCTCCGCCAACGCGTAGACCTCTAGCTAACAATAATAGATGCCGAGAAGAATATCACTGGTAGCTTGACTTTTTACCAGCTGAGCATGATCATCGGCGGATCCTTTGCTGCTTTCGCTCTGATTGTCATGTTCTTCATTAACATGATGCACGCAACGCATCTTTCAAACCCCTCAGAACAAGTCAAGTACGCGTTAACCAACTCTCTGATCCCAGCATATGTGCTAATATCCCCAGGATCATGCGAATCGGCACACTCATTTCGGCGTTCTCCATCATCTCGTTCATCTGTATCTGCGCTCCCGATGCAGCAGTCTACATCGAACCCTGGCTTCACGTCTACGAGGGTTTCGCGCTCGGATCTTTCTTCCTTCTTCTCTGCGACTACGTATCACCAAACCGCGACCAACAAGATGTGTTTTTCGCTACAAAGAAGAAGAATGGTATCAAGTGGTTCAAGGTACGCTTGTCTCTTATCGGCAATTGGTAATCCTGCTGACGGCTTTCTAGACACGGTGGATTATGATCTTTCAGATGCCTGTCATTGCAATCGGTGTCTCAATCGCTACCGATATCACACAAGCCGCCGGTATCTTCTGTCAGGAAAGCAATGACCGACACTTCGCCAATATTTACCTCCGAATCATCATGTCGATCTCTCTCGTCGTTTCAGTCCTCTCCATCCTACAGATGCACATGCTTCTCAAGAAGGACCTCGCCCACCATAACCCGATGCTGAAGCTCACTGCTTTCAAGATCGTAGTCGGCTTGACCTTTATCCAGGGTGTAAGTGATGCTGCCGTCTCCTGTCATTTGTATGGTGCTGATTTCTTAGATCATCTTTACCGTTCTCAACGACCAAAACGTTCTCAAGACTAGCGACACGCTCACCTACGCTGATGTTCATGTTGGTATCCCCAACCTCGTCATCTGCATCGAAATGGCTCCCCTATCGCTGTTCTTCATGTTTGCCTACCCATGGAGCGTTTACAAGTCTGGCCATGGCCGGGGAAGCTTCTCCAAGTTGGAGCAGGGCAACATTCCTGAGGGGTCATATCAGGGCGGTCCTCTGGGTATCCATGCTTGGTTGGCCATGTTGAACCCCTCCGACTCCTTTAAGGCGATATTGTTCATCTTCAAGAAGGACAACCGGAATGGTTCTACAACCGAAGTCAACATGACGGGTTATCAGTCCAACGACCCTTTGGTGTCGCATCCCTATAACCCTCAGCAGTACAACACTACGAACTAAGATCCAGAGAGCGAGGCGGTTGTTGATTTCTTTTACGATGGTGGACACGACAATGAATAGGATAAGATGGATATGTGGATAGATAGCTGGCAGCGGGTTGAATGGTTTTTTTGTGAAACCTCTTATGTTATTATATACCTTGACTCAATGATTACAATTTGTCAGATGATTGGCTCATGGTTGGAGACTCAAGTGGTAACAGGCGGGCAGAGGCTTCAGCAAGAGCCAAAAAAATGACGGAATGCAATACCCTTCGATGTGCGTAGAGATCTCTCCACTCTGCGCCATCTTGAGAACAATGGTGAACATGATCTATTAACTTGATATCAAGGCCATTGTGCTATTCTTTTGGCGTAGTGTATGACGCCCTTATATAGTGGTTGTGATGAAATGGCGCTATCCTTTTGTCACTTGATATGTGGCTACGGCATTGCCTTTCTCTTGAAAAGGGCTTACAGCCACACGAAAAGCAACCAGAAAAAAAACCAAACAGATGGTCATCTAATGGAAGGTTACCCCTCGTTCCTCTGTCTCCAACTGACCTACTCATTTTCTTCTCTGGGTTGACTCTGGTCTGCACAACTCTGCAGCGACACGGCAGTCTGCCCTTGGTCGACAAATTCTCTAGGCCTCATGAAGCCCACTCAGTTTCTCATCGCTCTTGCTGCCATTGCATATGCGGCCCCCGCCGTAGAGCAGACAATGGCCCCCCCGCTCGCTGAACTCGACACGCATTTCCAACCGCATATCAAGCGCTGTGGCAAGAAGGGCCCACCTCCGTACTATGGAGAACATCCATATCCCAACCAAACTTATAACCAGCTCACCGACGGGACGCCCTGCCGCAATGTCACCGTGATCTACGCGAGAGGAATGGGGGGAAAGGGAAATGTAGGAGAAGTAGATGGTGTCGGTCCTATCATATTCAACAGACTTGCCACGATTATTGGCGGCCCAGAGAAGCTGGCTGTTGCAGGTGTGAAGTACACGGCGAATTTTAAGACAGTTATACAGAAAGCCCCTAGAGAGGGCGGTCGGGCCATGAGTGAGCTTATCAACCGGGTACGCCAAGATGTGAGAAGGCAATATTGACGAGGATAATACTGACACCACGCTTGCAGGCCGCAACCCAATGTCCCGATACCAAGATTGTCCTCCTCGGCCACAGCGTCGGCGGCGCGTTGGTGCATCAAAGTGCTGAGAACATAACTACTGAGGTGACGGCGCATATCGCTGCTGGTTAGTACCTATCCCCTCATCAGACAACTTGCCACTGACTCCAGCTCTGCGTAGCTGTTACGTTGGGATACAAGAAGAGGGATCATATTGGGAAAATCCCCAAGTCGCGTATTCTCGTTGTCTGCAGAAAGGGTGATTCTTTTTGTAGTAAGACAGTCCCGTGGGAGATCTGGGTCTTTGGGTGTCCGATTTGGTTCACCAAGATAGTGAAAACCCACCAGAGTTACGCAAAGAATGCCAATGCCACGGCCGAGTGGATTGCCGGTCGGCTGAATGGTAACGTATCTAGATAGGTAGATATAATTCCTTTGCGCATATTCGACTTATCTTCGTTCAAATGCGATGTTCCTCAGAGTCCCAGAGTTAGAACAGCTGGAAGGCTAGTATATCAGGCTTCTATAACTGCACTGATCTTTACCTGTTCTTGGAAAGTTTACATTACATAGAAGGTAAATGCTGTTCAATCTGGCCTTTTTGGTTAAATAGTCAATAGGATACGATATAGGGTTGGTCAGTGGTCTCGGCGGTACTAGCGCTGCTGGAGAAGATTACTGTCAACGCGTTGGAATATTAGCATTGAGATCTCACACAGAGGTGCTACTTTCAATTAGCTTATTAAGAAATAGGATCTAGAAGTTTCATCCAATCAGAAGGCGCCTTCATGGCTCAGTGGTAGAGCGTGTCACTAGTAATGACAAGGTCCACGGTTCGATCCCGTGTGAAGGCACACGAGGTGATCTCATCCAGTTCATTCTTTTGTTGTTCCTTTTGAAGTTTGCGTTTATCGATCAGTCTCTTGTTGACAGAGATCTTGTCCATCAAAGGTCATTGAGCCTCGTTGACGTGTCGGTGCTATAAGCATAGAGGCTTTAGATATCCCTACCTCTCTCTATACACGAGCCAGAAGCGAGTACCAACGTATACCCATATAGCCATCATGAAGATTACTATTCCCATCTCCAATCCACTTTGCCCACTTTGTTTCCCCCGAGTCCTGGTCGAATAGACACCATCTTCCCCTCCTGGCCTCGCAGATGACTTCTCTCGCTCCCAACCCATGGATCAACCAGTCTCCTGGTGTATGGACAGACGATGTTTCATATGATCTACCAGCCACAAACCCATACAGGTAAACATGTTTCAATCTTGGAAGCTTCTCCTTATCGATGATTATGTCCCCAATGGCATCCACCAATGCCCTGTTGGCAGCACCAGTCTTTCCAGTGGAGAGGAACTCGTCCTCAGAGAACCCTTCATTGTCCTCAATCCCTGCCGCAGGTCGATGTTCGATCACGAGAGTCTCCAAAGTCCGGCTAGACGCCAAGATGAGCCTTTTCCACGCCTCGAGACTGTCACGCTCTGCGGTCGTCGACCAAGCATTATGTTGATTGAAGTAATCACCACGGCCATTGCAAGGTGAACATGAGTACAAGTGCCTAAGCCTTGAGAAAGAAAATCGGCCATCGGGGACGAAATTTCCGAGTGGTCTTGGAATGACTCCCCTGGGTTCATGATCCCATCGGCCATGATTTCCAGCGCCCTGCTCACTGATACAGACTGTGTTGGGCAGCGGCTGATCCAACAGACCAAGCTCCAGGCGCTCGAGCGTTTCGCGAGACCGTAGAACGTAAGTTGCAACAGATCGTGGGATATAAGCGAAGAGCTTTGCAAAGCGCAACTTCGTCAAATGCCTTTCTGGTATCTCCTCAAGCTCTCTGCAGTCGGAGGTCCCATGAGTGCTGTGGAGCTCCAAGTATTCGAGGTTTCTGAAATAGGGTATGAGCTTCCAAACAGAAACTGGCTCTGCAACTGAACTTTCATTGGGCTTCCACTCTGGCTCAATCACGGTACACAAACTCTTCACTCTGCCAGCAACATCCCTTAGGCGTCTTTCATCGAGAGTGTGGAGCGTCTGCAGCATGGTGAAGAGACTCTTGGCTCTTTCGCTGATATCGCTCTGCCAACCATCCCTCTTCGAATCATGGTGAAACCGATTGGGAGATTTGTATGGTAGTGGCTCGTTCAGCTCTGCGCTCGACTCGTGATATCCCTTCTCATGAAGTTCAATGTCCCTCCATAAGCAGCCTCCAGCGATTGATGCCAAGCGCTTGCAGGTGTAACTGAGACGGCATAGCTCCTGGGGAGAACTGTCGCGGATGATCTGGAGGAAGATCTCGCAAGGCAAAGAGTCAAGTGAGGCCATCGCGAGGTTTGATTTATTACAAGATCAAGAGCGCTTCTGAGGTGGTTGGACATACGTCAATCGCTTATACTGCTTACCTCCCGTGATCCGTCGGAGAGCGGCGCATGCTCCCATATTGGTCCATTCGTTGTAAGACAGCATCCTTGGCTCCAGAAATCGACCTATCAGGTTAGCCAATGAGTCTGACGCTGCTCAGCACTCTGGATTTGGATGTACGAGTAATTCTATGCTCATTATTTAACACAAGGACTGCGCTAGAGAGAAGTTTCGCCACTCATGACGGGATGGCCTCAGTATATTTTCATACATTCCCGATGGCCGTAAGCAAATCCATGATAGGTATTAAATGAGAGAACCCAAGGATGGGAAAGTGCAGCATATATTCCTTGACTCGCGTGCCATGAGCAATGGAGTCATGCGTCCTCACATCAACCCTGGAAGTTATGCAAGGACTGCAATATGAAGGTTGGGAGTTACAAAGAGTGGTAAACCTACTTTCTAGCTGAGATTCATGCCTGGCACTGATAGAGATCTCTTATATTTTCATACAGGCAATTTGTAATCGCTGCCCCATTAAATGGGATCTGTCATACCACGACGCACTTGCGCAGCTGAGACTTGCAAGTAGCTCAACCAACCCCCCCAACGAAACACATACTATTCATTATTACAGAAAGAAGTAATTCGATAGGTTGTAGGTATGAGATAAGCAGATCAGAAACCGGATGACCGCCGATGTGCTTTGTGTTGCGTAAACGGATCGGATCCCTGCCCGTAACATGTCGGACCGCCTCTACCGAGTAAGCCAGCCCCGCGCCGGGCTCACTCGCCGACATTTCCCCCAAGAACTTATAACAAAAGAAACAGAGTCGCTTCAACCTGCCGACATACTAGCCCAAGCTTACCATATTCATCTTACAGAATTATCTCCACATTCATACAGCACAATGTCCGCTCAACAGCACTCGGCGTTTGGCGCAGCGAAATACATTCCGCCCGACCCCATCTTCGAGGTGACCAAGCGTTTCAACGCTGATCAACACCCTCAGAAGGTGAACCTTGGGCAAGGCACATATCGCGATGAGAATGCTAAGCCTTGGGTGCTTCCGTCTGTGAGGGAAGCTGAGAAGCTGATTGGCGATGCCGGGCATGAATATTTGCCTATCGAGGGTTTGCGGAGCTTTAGAGATGAGGCTACCAAATTGTTGTTCCATGATACTTCCGCGCTTACAGAGAACAGAGTGAGTCAAACTGCGTATTGGTGTTTGTCTGGGAGCTAATCTTTTGAGATTGCGAGTTGTCAATCTATTTCAGGAACAGGCTCTCTCCTCCTAGCTGGTCTTGTTCTTCGCAAGGCCAACTCAGGTATCGAGAATATCATCATCACGGATCCAACCTGGTCGAACCACGATCTTCTCTTTAAAGAAATCGGGTTCAACGTAGTAAAAGCACCCTACTACAAAGATCGAAACTTCGACTTTGAAGGTTATATCAGCGCCCTGAAGAAAGCCGATAAGCGTTCGGCTGTTGTTCTCCACGCATGCGCTCATAACCCAACTGGCTGCGATCCAACACGCGATCAATGGAAAATAATCGCAGCTGTGATCAAGGAAAACGAAATATTTCCAATTATAGATTCAGCATATCTTGGATTCAACTCGGGTAATTACGATGAAGATGCATGGGCGATTAAGTACATCATCGAAGATGTCGGTCTTGAAGCCGCGATATGCATGTCTTTCGCCAAGAACATGGGGCTCTACGGAGAGAGAGTTGGTCTTACAGCAATAGTGACAAAGTCTGAAGACGCAAAGCGGACGGTGTTTTCACTGCTTCAGAATGCTCAGCGACAGACTGTCTCAAACCCTCCGGTCTATGGGGCTAGAATCGCAGCTACTGTTCTTGGAAACCCTGAGCTCTTGAGACAGTGGCATCAAGACCTTGTTACCATGTCTTCGAGAATCAGGTCAATGAGGAAGAAGTTGTATGGCGAGCTTGTGCGGCTGGGGACCCCGGGACACTGGTCGCATATTGTTAACCAGACTGGTATGTTCGGTTACACGGGTATCAGCAAGCCTCAGATTGAACAATTGGAAGGTAAGTCATGTCTCTATCTCATGAGACACGTACTGACGTGCTTTTAGAGCAATATCACATCTACATGGCAAATACGTCAAGGATAAGTCTTGCAGGGTTGAATGATCACAACGTTGAGTATGTGGCAAAATCACTAGATGAGGTAGTTCGAAATGTGCAGTGAAGAAAGAGGATACCACGACTAAGATAATAGATATCATTCGGATGGAAACTACTGCATTCTTGTAAAGTCCTTGTGATATCCTGCTCATACCTACTGGCAACGGGCACAACTTTGCCGTGCACTGCACATAAAACGACTGCGGAGATTTGAAGATTACTATGAGACAAACAAACTTTCTGTCAGTTGTGCCGATCCCAACTTGATCGGCTTGGACGCAGGGTTCTTGGTCGATGCTCTCGGTCCGTCATCGACCATCAAAGAGCAGATAACAGATTTGGGGACTCCGCATCGGAGCTCCCACGCATCCCCTCAGATACTTCGAGGACATGCAGATCTCACAAGAGCCCAGAATAGCAACACGACCCCTGAACTCAACGCACGTTCCAAGTTCACTGGCGTAGAACAAGATCCGTCCATAACCGCTCCCCACCAACCCCAATGTCTCCTTCACCAAACAAACACTCGTATCCAAGTCCATCCCACGCCGGTCAGACCTCCGATGTAAACTAGAATATGCAAAACGGCTTCTAGCGTAACATAAACCCGAGACCCAAGCTCTCAACCCCTGCCCTTCGCCAGGACAAGCCGATGCATGGCGTATCACCCCCGCTACCGCATGTGGACTAACTTCTTCAGATGTGATAAGATCCCACGACCAACGGTGCCATTCCCTTAGCTAGCATATCTCTTGTGATACGTGACCAAAGTGGGGTTAGCCAGAGCCATCGGGAAACTCTCCCGCTTCCCAAGTCTAGACCTCCAACGCACGTCGCTAAAGATAATGGAAGTAAAAAAAGACACCGATAAGATGTCCATGTGACGAATTACCCCGCTTCCCCGCGGTGTTGATTCAAAGAGAGCGAGTATCGGTTGGGGTGCCGATAGGGTGTGGCCAAAAGGTTGCTAGAGCCGCGCGAGATGGGGGGGTTCGAAGTCAAATAGATGATAAGGTTATGATGCTTCACTTCAAAAAAGCACATCTCATCACTGCCACTACCTTTTTTCTTCCCTTCACATCAACACAATAATCACCAGCACAGTAATCAAAGCACAGCAAGAATTGTGAAGGAATTTTCAGTGCCTGACATGACAACACTCTCAACTACTACTCGCTCACGCGCCGCTCAAGGCCTCACCCTCACACTCCGTCCTGCCTCTCGAGTGCGGCGCGATAGCCTCATCGCGCTCGTTCGCTACTCCTCCACCAACGCCGCAGCAGCGCTTGAGGCGACACGCACAAATACACCCGTCGCCAAAGGCGCAGAATCACCACTTTCAGAACTTCCTCCCTTGGTTCTCTACCGCTCTCTCCTGGTCAATTCCATATCATCAAGACCATGGCTCCTCATCCCTTCGTTGCATCTTCTTCAGAAGCTCTCCAACCCTGCGAACCCATATCTCTTCAATGTTGATCGCAACCCGCTGCTGCGAGGCTTGTTGAAGCATACGTTTTACAAGCAGTTTTGCGCTGGCGAGACTGGCGCTGAGACACAGAGTACTATGAAGTCATTGCAGGATATGGGATTCAAGGGAACGATTCTCACATTTGCGAAGGAGACTGTCTTTGATGCCAAGACTGGTAAAGATCAGGGTTTTGGTATCGAAGCCTCGAGCTCGAATGAGTGTCAGTGGTGCGATAACATTGAGGCTTGGAGGGAGGGAACTGTCAAGACTGTTGACCTGCTCCGCGAGGGCGATCAATTGGCTGTCAAGTGAGTCCAGATATCTCCATTATTCACCGCGTCGCTTACTAACAGATCATCAGAATGACAGGCGCTGGACCTGGAGTCTGCGACGCTTTCGCCAACGGCGCCGAACTCCCCAAGCAATTCGTCGACGCTTGCAACGAGATCGCCCAAAAGTGCAAAGACCGCGGCGCATATATCCTCATCGACGCTGAATCGCAGCACTACCAATGGGGCATCTTCCGTCTCGGCATGGACCTCCAGCAAAAGTTCAACACGGACGGCAAGGTCGTTCTCTACAATTCCTACCAAGCCTATCTCAAGAGCACCCACGACACTCTGGCCAAGCATCTCCAAGCCGCGCTAGACAAGGGCTTCACACTCGGCATCAAGGTCGTTCGCGGCGCCTACATGGCCTCAGACCCCCGATCCCTAATCCACGACACAAAGCAAGACACGGACGACTCGTACAACCAAATCGCCCAGGGCGTTCTGCGTCAAGAATTCCGCTCCTTCGGCACGACCAAGCCCTTCCCCTCCGCACAGCTCCTCCTAGCCAGCCACAACAAGGAGTCGCTGGTCAAAGCCCATGAAACGCACCAGCAGCGCACAAAGGCGGGTCTTCCGACTGTGCCGGTCAAGTTCGCGCAGTTGCATGGGATGTCGGACGAGGTTAGCTTCGGGCTGCTGAAGCTAAAGGACGATGCGGGGGTGGCTCCCGAGGTTTATAAGTGCACTACGTGGGGTACGCTCCCGGAGTGCATGGCTTATCTGACGAGGAGGGCTATTGAGAATAGGGATGCTGCTGCGAGGACGCTGGATGAGTATTCGGCGTTGAAGAGTGAGCTTTGGAGACGGTTGGCTTTCTGGCGATAGGCGAAAAGTGTTTGTAGTTACAAAGAATTATTAGTCAACAGTGAAATTAATTCTAGAATTTGATCTGTGCCATTGTGTTGTTGTTCAGTGTCGATGTTTACTTGCAAGGGCTGCTCTATCATTCACCGCTCTGATAGCGCTAGAATTGGATGTCTGTCTCAGCTGAGAGATAACCCGTGCAGTGCATCTCAAACGCCTCTTGTTATCCTTGCAGATCTCTCTCTTGTCAATGACACGTATTCGATCCTTGCAAATGCTATCGGCACTCACAAAGCGGGGTATCTCAACCAGGAACTCAATTCCTCCGTCATCACAAAGTGTCACGAGCACTGAAACGTGTTCCATGGCACATCAAGTGGCGCCGGTGAGGGTCCCGTAGCCCTGCCCTGTATCCCACTGTAACTGCGGAGCTTAGCTCTCTACCTTACCCCACGGTTCAAACTTCAGCAATCATCCATCGGCAGCGCTCCCGTTGATACTACCCCTCATCAAAACAAAGAGATAACATTCCTGCATCTGCACGACTTGTCGACGTCTTTCCAGTCGTGGTTTGGTCTATTTCTTCGCGTGTGGTCACAAGATCGGCTGCTCACCTGGCTTATGTGTATGCACTTCTTGGGTACTTTGTATGCTTTGTTTTCGTTTGGCGAATAAGACATTATCTTTTGCGGTTACATCTGGATTAAATCGCATCCCCCGTAACGAAAGTTGTCGCAACCATGGCTGGTCTGAGCAATGCCACACTCACCATTCTGGGAACAGGTAAGATGGGCGCCCAATCAGTTTGTAGTGCTGTGGCTGACGACTACAGGAAACATCACAAAGCCTATTGTGAAGAATGTACTTCCTGCCATCAAGGCCGGCAAGACAGATCTGCCTTTCACGAAGATCATCGCTTGCGTGCGATCAGAAGGTTCAGAGTCAAAGCTCAATGACCAGTTCTCGGAGTACAGCAGCATTTTGACTGTGTCTCGTGGCGACAATGTCAAAGCTGTTCAGAACGGCGACGTGATCGTCTTGGGCGTTGATCCAGCTGATATCGCTGATGTTCTCACCCAAGACGGTATTCGCGATGCGTTATCAGGCAAGCTTCTCATAAGTGTAGCCGCTGGCTGGACGAAGGAGAAGCTCGAATCTACACTCTACGGAAGCGAGACAACCAAAGAGAACGCCTCTGGCAGAGCTTGGGTTATTCGTACTCTCCCCAACATCGCATGCATGGTCTCAGAGGGTCTCATCGCCATTGAGAAATCACCGACCGAACCTCAAGTCCCAGCAGAGCTTTTGGATCTCACCAAGAACCTCTTCAATACCATCGGCAGAACCACCGAAGTCGCTCCACGTCTTATGAACGCTACTACAGCCGTTGGAGGCTCCACCCCAGCGATGTGGGCTATTATCTGTGACGCCTTCATCGATGCGTCCGTGGCCGTTGGTGTACCCAGGGCCACTGCACAGACTATGATCTACCAATCTATGAGGGGCTCGGCTGCAATGCTCCAGAGTGGACTGCAGCCCGGCGATTTGAGAGACCAGGGGACTTCGCCTGAGGGCTGCACTATCGGAGGAATCATGGTTCTAGAAGAAGCAGGAGTCAGGGGCCATCTTGGGCGTGCACTACGGGAGGCGGTTACTTTGGCAAGGTTGATGGAGACCACTACCCATGTCAATGATACAAGGCCTACTTCGTAGATTTAGCTAGAAACTGTGGATAATAGAAAGTATTGTATACCAAAGACCCAGACGCCTCCTCCCTTTCTCCCAGCTAGACTACTACAAAGTGCAAATCATCTCCGATCTACTATACTAGTCTTCCCGTTCTGTGTTTCCTGTACCTGCTTTTCATTCTACACGCCGTGCCAATAACGTTTCTAGAAGCCTTCCCTATAAGAGCTTATGGAACCTTGACCTTGCCTCCATGTTTGCCACACACCCTACTCCAAAAGCCGGGATGATTCTCAGAGACCGCAGTATGGTGGCTGAGAACAGGTCCCTCCGGATCTGTGCCGAGCGCTCAACCCACGGTATTCCCCGCGGTCGGGCATACAGGTCCAGCCCAAGAAGGTGAACTGGGGTAGCGAAGAATTGTGAGAAGATGGGCACTGTTAACTGTGAGATGATTGCCTTGGAGTGCGGGCTTGATGATAGGCTATCTGGGATGAGAGATGATAGCCAAGGTGCCATCGTGAACGACCCAAAGATCGTGATGGCATCTCTCATGAGAAACGTAGCTGTAGCGGCTCGAGGAATACCAGGCTTTACGACAGGCGCGACTTTATCAGTCGGCGTTGTTGAAGCACTGAACATCTGAGCAAAGCGTACATCTTTCAGCACGCCAAGAGGAACGTTTACTATCATCGTATTGACAAAAGTAATCGTTCCAACAGCTGCTCTATGGAATTCATGAGCAAGTGTATCCGATGCATTTGACACGGCGTATGTTGCCCCGTAAAGAGTCCAGACGTAGCCGAATGCACGGCTGAAGATGAAGCGGCCTGGATGTTTGATAGCGTTCAAGCTGTGAACTTTCATGCCCTGCGTGAGGGGTCTGTTGAAAGAGACCTTTTCTACCATAGATCTGAAGCGTGTTAGTTGAGTTTGTGATGAGAAATTATGAGACATACTGGTCAATCACTGTGATTACTGGTGTTATTAGAGTTGCAGATACACCAGCAGCTGCTATGTCCCCAACGATGGGCCTCCATAGATGGCTGCGACTGAATGTTGTTTCAGCGACATCTTGGTGCCTTTCCATGAGGTATGGTGTTCTGTGTGATGGGCAGTAAGAATGGTTCGCAGGTATGGCTCCAAAGCGTTGGTGTCGCGATGTTTGATAAGACACAGCACCTTGCAAAAATGATAGCGATTCCAGAAGAACAACCACCAAGCCAACAAATGTCGGGAGCTATCCCTCAAGCCCAGCCATCCCTCTCAATCAGTACAGCCATACAGCTACACCAACACCATCGCACGGCCAAACCGACACCACGGGATCCTCAACCGACCCTTCAAACTCACCAAACCCCACCACCAAAACCCCCCATCGGTGTCCCTCCCGTGCAGCACCCTCAGCGTCTTGTGACACTGGTCGGCCCCCCGCCCGGTGGCTTAATCTGGGCGTTTTAGCGCTGTGAGGGGTAACTGAATCAACCCCTCCACTCCACTAAAAAGTTTCGGTTGCAGCGCCGGGATAAGGTTGTGATGTCAACATAAAAACGAGCGCATCTGTTTACGTTTTTTTCTCTATTCATCATATCAAACTTGCAGCGGTACAGTACGAGATCGCAGTTCCTCATACTTCACGATGGCTTCTTCAGTTCGTGTTTTGACGTCAAAGGGTCGTTTGACTCCTCTCTGTCGTGTGCGTGCTTCTACACCTGCGCTTTCACTGCAGAGGCGAGGCAATGCTACGATTGTGCCTTTCAGACTCCCTGCCGCTCGCAATGAGCCCAACGTGAGTAACCTTCTCTCTTCAAACCGATTTCAATTCGGATACTGACTGTTTAGCCCACATACACAAAGAACTCGCCCGAGCGCGCAAAGGTAGAAGCAGCCCTAAAGAAACTCCGCTCTCAACTCCCTGTAAAGAGCGAAATCATCTTCAACGGCGTATCCCAAAAGATCCACGCCAACGAAGACCAAGTCCTCCCCGCAGAACACGCCACGACATTCACAAACTACCCCCTCGCTTCAAAGGAGCAAGTTAGCGCTGCGATCGAGTCTGCACTCAAGGCGAAGAAGGACTGGCAAAACACACCGTTCGTCGATCGTGCTGCTATCTTCCAGCGCGCTGCGGAACTTGCTACTACAAAGTATCGATATGAGCTTATCGCTTCGACGATGTTGGGGCAGGGAAAGAATGTTTGGCAGGGTGAGATTGATGCTGCGGCTGAATTGGCGGATTTCTTCCGTCTTGCTGGCCATTACGCTGCGGAGATCATGAGCAAGCAGCCTGAGCGTGGAACAGATGGTATCTGGACGCGCATCGACTACCGACCTCTCGAGGGCTTCATCTACGCTGTTTCGCCATTTAATTTCTCCGCCATCGGTGGTAACTTGATCGCTCCCGCTATTCTCGGCAACGTTGTCCTCTGGAAGCCATCGCAGTACAACATTCACCCCAGCACCATCATCTACAAGATCCTTCAGGAGGCTGGTCTTCCTAAGGATGTTATCCAGTTCGTCCCTGGTGACGCTGCCGAGATCACCGAGACTGTTCTTGCGCATCGCGAGTTCGCTGGTCTTAACTTTGTTGGTTCTTCTGAGGTCTTCCGCTCGATCTATGGAAAGATTGGCCAGGGTATTGCTGAGAAGCGATACCGCGATTTCCCTCGTGTTGTTGGCGAGACCTCTGGAAAGAACTTCCATCTTGTGCATCCCTCTGCCGACATCAACAACGTCGTTAACCACACTATCCGAGGTGCCTTTGAGTACCAAGGCCAGAAGTGCTCTGCTACATCTCGCGCCTACATCCCCGAGTCAAAGGCCAAGGAGTTCTTCTCTCTCATCCAGCAGAAGATGAAGGACATCACTCAAGGTAGCCCTGACAAGGATTTCGAGGCTTTCATGGGTCCTGTGATTCACAGCCGATCGTTTGAGAAGATCAAGAAGATCATTGATGAGAGCAACAAGGATCCTCAGGTCAAACTCATCGCTGGTGGAAAGTACGATGGTTCAGTAGGATACTTTATCAAGCCTACTGTTTACCAGGTTGACTCGCCTGATCACCGTCTCTTCAACGAGGAGATCTTCGGTCCTGTTCTTGCTGTCTACGTCTACAAGGACTCTGACTTTACTCCTATGCTCAAGAACATTGATGAGAACGGCGGTGGTCTTGCCTTGACTGGTGCTGTCTTTGCTCAAGACCGTGCTGCCCTCCGTGAAGCTGAGGATGCTCTTCGCTACTCTGCCGGTAACTTCTACCTCAGTAAGTCCTCCCTTCCTTATATCTGTGTCGCTCGCAATACTAATACGTTACAGACTGCAAGACAACTGCTGCTCTCATTGGTCAACAGTCATTCGGTGGTGCTCGCAGCTCAGGTACAAACGACCGAGCTGGTAGCCCTGACATGCTTCGACGATTTGTGTCTCCTCGTCTCGTCAAGGAGGAGTTCTTTGAGCTTGAGGAGTTCTTGTATCCTTCCAACACCCAATAGAGTTAGCATAGCCTATCTAGATTTGTACCAAAAGCTAAGGACTGAAATTAATGAACTTTAATGAACACTCCCTTTGGCCTCCATGATCGTGACTCTAGACTCGACTGGGCGTGTGATTGCTGATGCATTTGAAGCCATATGGATACTCCAGTTGAGTTTCTTTTTGTATCGCTGGGGCTCTTTCATTCAATACAACTTATTACTTCGTATCCAGGATTTCACTCGCCTCAGACTGATGATGGTTGTCTCGTCGCTATACCAACCCTTCTCTTACCTATTTGACTGACTGATATCTCCCCTACAAGGACAATTCTCCCAGACTCACGAGTGTATCTTCATCTAGATTCACAATTATTGATCTTAGCCCGCGAAGCTGGTCGCGCGTGTGAATCCCTTGATGCCGCTGATGATGCCTTACCGACGGCCAGATGAACAACATACAGATATCAGAAACCACGTACAGACTAGCAACTAAGCTTTTACAACCCACAATAACCTCCATCAAAGGATATACCTTCATCTAATTGGTTACTCGATAAATGCCGACGTGGTTTCAGACTACAGAACGGCCCGGAGGTCTTGATTGGCAAATGCATCCACGCTATACCCAGCTCAGGGTTTCTTTAACGGCCTGACAGGTATTGCATAGCTGTTCCTGAGAGATGTTCTAGAGTCACGTTATGGTGTTTCCCGATGTGTTCTGGAAGACTTCTTCACAACAATTGGTCTCGGGTTTAGAAGCCGAGGACTGAGAGCAGTTCGCAGCATTGATACAGAACCAAGGATGATATTTTTACTGAGTTTGATAGTATATCTTCCCTTCTTTCGTTTCTATCATCTTGTCTGGTCATTTCACTCCAATGTCAAGTGTAGGAGATGGAGGTCGCTGCTGGTGTCACCGTTTCGCCATGCAGAACAGATCGGCTTCCCCTAACTTCACCCCAGTAACAGCAATGCATGCACCCATGCCGGTAAACGGCTTTCAACAGACCCCCGCGATAAAACACTCCGATAACGGCTGCAACCAACTCCCGAATCTTCCATATCAGCTGGTCCCAGATAATGCACGTCGTCAGCAGACCCCGTACGCCCAAAGCCATATCAAAGATCGTCGGGTTGCACTTGCGGCTACGCTAACCTTCCAGCCAGACTCCACTTCAGCACGGATGGGGAGACGATAGCGCTAAAATAGCACCCAGTTTTCTCAGCGCCAATCATTCTGGTATCAATATCGGGAGGTCTCCCGGCGTCGCCTTCGTAGCGTCACCAGTCTATCTTTGCAGTTCTGGGTGTTGTTGATACTTCGGATCGTGGAAAGGCGTTAAGCGTAGGCGCATCACGAGACGGTGATGGCCGGATATCGAACGACGATGGGTTTGGAGGCTCGGGATGGGAGAATACTTATAGAATGACGCCTCAATTGCTTCAGTCTGATCAGCGATAGCTTCAATTCACCTCAAGTGTGCAACCATGAGCGTCTCCAAATCTGAACCAATCCTTATCATTGGAGGTGGTGCCTTTGGTCTCTCAACAGTCGTGCACCTCCTCAGAGCTGGCTACAGGGACATCACCGTTCTCGACAAAGATGAAGAGATCCCCTCTCGATGGTCTGCAGCGAATGACCTCAACAAAATCGTGCGCGCAGAATACGAAGACCCTCTGTACCAAGACCTCACAGTGGTAAGTTGTCCCCCAATTACCCCAACTCAAAATTTACTACGGAGTAGACCAGCGCTGATCCATTGACCAATCAGAAAGCCATTGAGGCCTGGCAGACTCCCCTGTTCGCTCCGCATTTCCACCAAGTGGGTTTCCTGCACTGTGTTTCCAGCAAAGCACCAAAAGAAGCGCTTGACACGCTCAATCGCTTCCGCGCTGCTGCTGAAAGAGATCCTCGCATGAGATCTTATCTTTCGCCACTTGACAGCCAGAAGGATATTGCAGATGCTGTTTGGCAGTACAAGGGCAGCGCGTTTCCTGGGTGGAATGGGTACTTTAATAGGTTCGACGGGTACGCGCACTCAGGAAACGCGTTGAAGTCCATTTTTCTGGCGACACGGGCTCAAGGTGTGAAGTACATCCTTGGTGCAGCAGGTGCCGTGTCTGAGATTGTCTACGAGAAGACTTCGTCTGGTCGCAAAGCAAAGGGTGTCAAAACCACTGGCGGGTTGTTTTATCCCTCTAATCTGGTCATTGTATCCGTCGGCGCGGCCGGTGCAAAGCTGGTCCCCGAGATTGGCAAACAGCTCGTCGCAAAGTCATGGTCTGTGGCTCACCTACATCTCACCGACGACGAGACATCTGCTCTTCGTGGTATCCCAGTGACATACGCTCGCGATCTCGGCTTCTTCTTTGAACCTGATCCCAAAACAAACCTTCTCAAGCTATGTCCCATGGGCGGTGGTTTCATCAACACTGACCCTAAGACTGGAATTTCGCATGCACCTACAGATTTAAAGCAGAGTGCTTTCTTACCTGAAGGTGACGAGAAACAGCTTCGTGAGCTTGTTCGCCAAACGCTTCCTCAGTTCGCTGACCGGCCGTTCGTGAAGAAGACACTTTGTTGGTTCGCTGACACAGCGGACTCGGACTTTATCATCGACTACGTGCCCAACACGTCTTCGTCGGTGCTATTCTTGTCTGGAGATAGTGGTCATGGGTTCAAGTTCTTCCCTATCTTTGGCGGATTTGTGAAGGATCTGTTGCGGTCGGAGAAGGGAGAGCAACCTGAAGCGAGATGGAGGTGGAAGAACCCCAAGACCGATGAAGGAAATGGCGATTGGGGAGGTGCTGTGAGCTGGAGACTTGGCAACTCGACTGAACTTGTGGATATACAGCCTGTTGGTCAGAGCAAGCTCTGATGCCCCAGCAATCCACGCTTCTGGAGTGCCTGTTTTTTCTCCCTGGCACCAATTAGATACAGCTGCGGTACATTTAGCTGGGCCCTTGATTAATAATACATTATCATCATTTGAACCTCTTCTGTTATCTTCTCACCGTTGGGTTCGTTCGAGGCTAAGATCATCGGGTGGTAACAGTGGCAAACGCAACTATAATGCTCTCCGTTCCGCAGGTCTTAGGACCCATTATCGCGGCTCCTCCGTTCACTTTGCATTTCTACAGATGCTAGAACTTACAGAATTATTACCTTACATACTCTAACTTTTATTCTAAATGAACATTAAACCTCCAGCCTCGGAAATTGTACGTTTTTGTGCATCTGTGCCATTGCCGGGACACAATTCCAGGGTAAGCTTATAAACCTGGATCTTCTCGGCGTCGGAAAGCCGAACGTCAACTCTGCCCGAAGAACAGGAGCGAATAGGTCAAATGTGATTGATCCTCGAAGAATTCTAGAATGTTGAGACATCAAAACCTTTGCCTTCTCCTCATATTCCCCAAAGTCAACTTGAGAGTCAGAAGGCAGCCCCGAAATGACTCGGCCGACACGCCCGAGCTTTCGCAGCACATAACTGGCCAGAGTTGACATTCAGGCCCACAGTAATCACCGGGAAGCCTACCGGTCACAACGGACGGGTTCCCATGACCGAGACGCAGCGCAGCAACGACTGAAATTCTCCATCTTCGGAGACGCCTTTGACACGTCGGAACAGATTCGCGATACAAACCCCACTTCAGATGAGGAGGTGATAATCATCATGCTTTTAAAGAACCACGATTGAGTCAAATATCTGCATCAATTGAAACATCGTCAACAACAGGTTACGTTTTCATCCTAATTAATTCATCAATTACATACTCAATACCATCATCATGGGCTCCCTCAACCCTGCACCCTCCCAACAACCCCATGTTCCCAGGTAAGCCTCCATCTCAATCCCCATCATCACCATCACATACTGACATTCCCAGCCCCGGAGTATGGTGTCCAGCAGTGACATTCTTCAACCACTCAGACGACACAGTAGACCATGCCTCTCAAGCAAAATACTTCGCCCACCTCGCCGACTCCGGCCTCAACGGCCTTATCGTGATGGGCTCCAACGCCGAAGCCTTCCTGCTCACCCGCGAAGAGCGCTATGAGCTCATCGCCCTCGCCCGCAAGACAATCGGCCCTGACTTCCCCCTCATGGCCGGTGTCGGAGCCCACTCTACCAAGCAGACTCTCGAGCTCGCTGAAGATGCGCACAAGGCTGGCGCGAATTATCTCCTCGTGCTTCCTCCTGCATACTTTGGCAAGGCGACGAGTATGAATGTTGTTAAGCGCTTCTTTTCGGAGGTTGCGAAGAAGTCGCCTTTGCCTGTTGTTATTTATAACTTTCCTGGTGTGACTAATGGTGTTGATATTGATTCTGAGACTATTGTTCAGATCTATGAGGAGAGCAAGAAGTCTCATCCTAGCGGAAAGTCCAACGTTGTCGGCGTGAAGTTGACCTGTGGCTCTGTTGGAAAGATCACCCGCCTCGCAGCTCAAATTCCCTCTTCAGAATTCTCTACATACGGTGGTCAATCTGACTTTCTCATTGGCGGTCTAGCAGCCGGCAGTGTAGGATGCGTGGCAGCATTTGCCAACGTCTTCCCAACCCTCACATCAAAGATCTACGCCCTTTACAAGGAGGGAAAATTTGACGAAGCGCTGAAGTTACAACAACTTGCTGCTCTTGCTGAGCGACCTTGCAAAGCGGGCGTTGCGTCTACAAAGTACGCCGTTGCTGTGTTTTCCGCAAGGTTGGCGGGTGTTGAAGGAGCTGAGGGGAAGTTGGCACCGAGACATCCGTATGAGCCTGTTGGTGAGGCTGTCAAGACTAGTGTTAAGAGTATCATGAAGGAGGCGGGTGATAAGGAGGAGGAGTTGCTGAAGACTTGGACGGATCGTGTCAAGGGGCGCCTGAACTAGATAGAGGGGAAAAGTCTGGATATTGAGAGTAATAGAACTGTTATCGATATGAGGCGAGACTTGTGGCATGCAGGAGACGTGACGACTTCGGGGTAAATCCCCGTTGACCCTGTTCTCCCAGGAATGTTCCCCGGACTGTTCGACGCAAGGATTGACTGTGATGGTCAACCTGCAGAAGAGCGGGAGAAGAGGGCGAATACTTCCATCACGTTTCCATGAGTCAAACCTCAACGTATTGTATGGGATGAATGCATATCCCAAGCCCATCCCCCATGCACCATCAGTGGACCTGTTGCGTCGATTGTGTGACATGCCCCAACCCATCCGGGAAGGCCGTGGTCAAGTGCACGGTGCTTCGACTATCGTTTTCCCCATGTTCTAGCCTAGGTACCCGAGTACCTAACTAAAACGACCAGGGTCAAAGCCTAATCCGCTATCAAAAAACGGCCAACACGCAGAGTTTGTCCCACTACAAGTTCGTTATCAACAGTGCACCTCCACTTGGTGAAAGCCCCCAAACTTATCTCATCTCACTTATTAGAGTAAAAAGAAAGCGATTTCTACTGCCCCGCATACCATCCTCCTCCTCTCTTTTTTCTCTCAGGATATATTCAGCCCCGATTTATTCCCCTCATTTCGTCTTTTTTTACTGTTTGGAGGACAATACTCGTGACCCAGTGGCGGCTGCTCTAACCCCAACATTACAGCAGGGGCAAAAAAACCGCTGGAGCGTAAGCTAACGAAACCTTTCTCTTCCCCGCCAACCACCGAAACAGTTTCTTTCCAATTCATCAGCGCCTTTGTTCTTTCATTATACGATTCGTCGCGATGGCGCCTGGATCGACGCATGCGCGGAAAACGTCTGGTACGACTGCAGGATCGGGACGTGTTTCCAAGAGATCGGATAATGCGTGAGTACGGCGCTGAGACCTGAATCCCCTGTATCAATCAGCACTGAGCTTCCCCTCACCTTGCGACGTCAACTTCACCTCACTCACCGAGCATCAGCAATGAACAAGGAGGATCAGCATTACTGACAGAGGACAGGTGTTCGCGATGTCGCAAGCAGAAAATAAAATGTTCAGGTTCGCATCCTTGCGACGCGTGCAAGAAGCGCAAATTGTCTTGCGAATTTGATCAACGCGATCAAAAGGTTCTTGTCACACGTGGGTAAGCTCACCGCGATTGACTTTTTGTCGACATGACGTATTGATGGCTTCAAAGGTTCATTCTGGATTTACAGCAACGCGCTGCGACGAGTCAATCGAGTACCGGGACGGCTGAGTATATCACGCCTGGGTCTTTGGATACGAACATCAATGCTGGGGGACCTTCTGATTCAGGTATGTTTGACGATCGGATGGAGGGTCATCGCTAATGGTGATAGTTGAACCGCCGCCTCATTTGCCTTCACCTGGCGGCAATGTCTCTGCTTCGCTGCCAACGGAAGACTCGCTCCTCGGGAGTCATAGTAGCACCAACAGCAGCGGGAAGGGGCTGGATCCCATCGCATCCGCCCTGGTGAATCCTTTGTCATCTGGGCAATCCAAGTTTATGCAATCAGCGCAAGGTCGAGAATGTAAGTACTCATTACTTTCAACAAGGCTTTAGCTGACATTTCAGTCTACCTCGGAACATCATCAAACTGGTCTTTTACCCGACGCGTCCTCAGTCTCACTCACGAATACATTCACCAAAGCCCTATCTCAGTCGACAACCTACTCTTTGATGGCTTAGCATACGACCTCGGATGGGACGGCTCTCGAATTACTCCGGCGCTGGATCCGCCTGTTATGCCTAGTCTCGACCATGCAGTCTTCCTAATCAACACAGTCAAGTTTCACTGCGGCCAATTATTTCACTTGTTCGATGAAGAGACATTCATGGGATATCTACACGAATTCTACGCGGATCCGAGTAGTCATATTGCAGCAGCGGATCTTCCTTACATCCACCTCCTTCTTATACTCGCTTTTGGCAAAGCTTTTGCCGAGAACAACAACTACCAAGCAAAGAGACCCCCCGGTGCTGATTACTTTGTCACGGCCCTCCGACTTTTACCAAGCATTCATATCCTGGTTTACCAACCATTGATATCGACAGAGATCTTGTGTTGCATAGCTCTATACTTTGAGTCTCTGGACTACAGACATTCATCACATGGATTTGTACGCTCCTCGACGTTCTTCAGTGGATTCAGCTAACCTTGGTCAGATTGGACAAGCGATGAGAGTTGCGCTCGGCCAAGGAATGCACACCGACATGCCAGTCGATCAGCTTGGAGACCGCATTGTTGAACGAAGTCGAAGGATATGGTGGACCGTTTACGTGTTAGACCGCGAGATGACATCTCTAATGGGCCTGCCGCAGTCAGTTCACGACGACGACATTCATCACCAGCTTCCGCATTTCGACGGGTCAACACAACGAGTGGCAGCACTTCATATGCAGATTCGACTTTGCCGGACAATTGCATCAGTCGGAAGAGGTGAGAAGACCTATCCCGTGATCTGTACGAAGCTAATCAGTTGTTAGGCGTATACGGAGCTAATGGCCGGCTGAACAAGAAGTTCCTACTCAGCACAAAGAAGGTTCTCGAGAACATTGCTGGCCTTGCAGACGAACTACAACAACAATTCCCTCTCGGTGCAGACAAAGCGGTAAACGGCGTTTCCAGGGTCGCTGGATACCTCCACACTCTATATCATCAGGTAACATCATTCTCTGGCATTCAAACAACTCGTGCTGACGTCTGCAGTGTATCGTCCTCGCAACAAGACCTCTACTACTCTGCTTTCTCAAAATCCGCTTCGAAACGCCCGACGCCATAACGGAAGCCCTCAACTCATCCCAAACTGTCTGGAACCTGATCAAGATGTGTATCGACTCTTCCTACCAGATGATCAACATTCTTGGCTGTTTGCAAAGTCAAGGTCTGCTTGGTAAATCAAGAGATTGATCTCGTCAACCACAGCTACTAACGATTCCTCAGAAGCGTTCTTACCATTCGATCTTGAGTCGCTCTTCGTGTCGAGTTTTAACCTCCTCATCGCACCTGTTCTTGATCCCCGATTCTCAGAATACGACGCTACGTTCCGACATAAGACACACATTATCTTTAATGAGATGATAAGTAAGGGAAATCTCATCGCTATGTTTCGAAGGTCGGAATTGCAGCAGCTCGATGATATGTTGGTTCGATTACCGCGTGAGCAATCTGAGACAACACCTATTCCGATAGATGGACAGATTATAGGAGGGACGATTGGTGAGGGCGAAGGAGATGTCAATGACCTGAATGATGATAATGAGACTATGGCTTCGATGTTGCCTGGTATGGATGATTTGGGAATGGATGCGTGGTTCACGACTGCGCAGATGATCGATATGGCGAATTCGATCGCGAACAGCGATACTGAGTTTCTGTCGCACACAATGATGGAACATGATATTTGGTGAAAGAGTTGGGCCAGTTAATGGGACATTGTTGGAGTCTGGATAATCATGGTGTAACGAGTTCATGCTTAATGGGAGGGTGAATGGAGTTGTATGCCAGTTGAAACCTTGAGGGAGGTTCAAAAGCTTTGAGAGTATTTAGCTAAGCAAATTACATATGCACGTATCAATAAAAGCTACAAGATAGTGTTGTAAAGATCGCAACAGGGTATCGTGAAAGCGAAACATACTCGAAACCTGAACTTCCATCATCCGACAGCCTTCTCCAACTTCTCTCGAAACACCATCCATGACTTCCTCACCCGTCCTCCACCATTAGCCCAATCCTCCTTCTTCCTCTGCACTTCTTCCAAGCTTCTAAAAGACTCCACAGCCCGTTGCCCTTCGATATCTTCACTAGAGAACCAAGTTCCGTGCAGACCGTATGGTACTCTTTGGGGAAGCTGAACCTTGGCCACAACATCACGCATGTTCTTGGCATCAAGAATCCACAACTCAGACTTCGCAGATGATGGGCAGTCCCCCAATGGCAGGAGTTGAGACTCGTCGAAGACGTAAAAGAGCAGATATCCATCGTCCTCCACAGTTGAAGAAGCTCGAGGAACGAACCGCGGTTCTTGAGCGTAGTGGTTTGGCGGAAGGCAGAATATCTTTATAGGATCGTCCTTCTTTTGTTCTTCAAGGATCTCACTGACTGACCGTCTATCGACGCACCCAGTAATAGGCGTTGTGTTCATCTTCTTTCCTCGTTGGATGAGGGTCTTGGCATCCATCTTCACAAGAAGATCGACCTTATCAGCTCTTCCGAGAGCAACGCCAAAGCATGAAGTTGACGTGCTGCACCCGTAGATGTAACGAGACTCTTGCATCTCTCGGGCTGGACGTACAGAAGGAAATTCGAAAGGTATCGCTGAGAGAGCCCACTGGCTCTTGACGCTGTTCTGACATTTGGTCGCCATGTCAAATTCGTAATAGTACAGTCGGCATTGGTCGTAGTCGTCGGAGTCTGGAGTGGAGAAGTAGTCGGTCACACCAGTCGCTTCCCCAGGTGACTCAAGTGCAGGAGCTTCTTTGTATCTGCAGGCCGTTTCCTTCCTCTCGACTGACCAGCCCCGTGCTGGGGTAGACTTAGACCTCACCGGTGGTCGAATATTTCCCGCAGTATATACTAGCGTTGAGGAAGTCATGCGACACGCAAGCAGATTAACAGAAGCTTCCCCTTCACTGGACTGAGAATCCCAAGTGTTCGCAGTATGGAAGATACAGCATGGGGCTGTATGAAACCACCGCACACTGGATGGTAGATGCCGCGGGAATATTCCAAACCGTGAAGGCTTCGTCGGGTCATATGCTACAACCTCTTTACCCTTCATCGTGTTGAGAGGATCGAGGCTCAGAGGAAGGTCCATGATGATCGTATGACTTCGAGATGCTCCAAAGTCGTGCATCATCCGAGCACCAGATACTCCCAAAACCGGCTGATTCACAAGTCTGTGCCCAGATGCCTTCTCGTTACTCTTTGTAAGTACCGAGTAATGTACGTATGGTGGCATGAATGTGTTGTGATACAAGAGCATCTCTCCAGTGACAGGGTCGACTTTGGGATGCCCTGTTGTCCACTCCTTCATGAAGCTGAAGAGCCCGCTACCGCCGAACGGAGAGTCATCACTGCTGGCTTGAGATTTCTCTGGCTCTCCTTCAGCTTTGACACCGTCGAACCAGCCGACAGTATCCAGCGAGGGAAGCTGTATCCTCATGGGCGGTCCACTTTCGCATGTCACCAAAGCCCTCCCATCGTGGTACAAGACAGCAGTATTTGCAACACTAATCCGTTTGATGGCTTGTTGAGATCCAGGCAGGTTCGAGAGGATGACCAGGAATATCGTCCTGAACGTCGCGAACATGATCTGAAACATGGTCGATAGAGGATTCACCAGCGTCGTGATGCTTGGCATTATCGGCGACACAACCGACGTCGTCTTTCTCGATAGGTACAAATCCGTCAAGATATACTGATTGACAAATTCTGGTATAATCTTACCATCCGTGGATGTCTTTCTGAATGCAACGCCTGAGAGCATACCGTCGCCGTCAAACCAATGGGCGTCTTTGCCAAGGTCTTGGTGGCTGACGGGATTGCCGCCATTGCGAACGTACTGACCACCAGTCAGTTCTGGCGGTATGCATCCACTATATGTGCATGGTGTGAGATTTGTTGTTTGATGAATTGGAGCAAAGTTGCCAGAAAGATATCTGTAATCAGTTAGGCTCTTGAAATCCCAGTAAGGCCGGACAGACTTACGGGTGATGAAGTGGCGGAGAGATGTCCTCGTCTGGCTGAGACATTGACATTTGTGTGAGGGAATTTTGTTGCAGAAACTTCATGATGATATGTGGATTATAATATTATGCGGTGTCGGGTCGTGTTAGTATTAGAGGTTGATGAATCGCGCACTACGGAGCAAACGAAGAGAAGAATAGACAGTTGGTATTTGGAAAGGCTTCAAGCTACATCGTGAGATGAGGCAATTCAAAAGCGAAAATAGACGAGCAAGTATGTCAAAGCCTATGATACTCCATGAAGCTATACAAAAGACACCCAACTACAGCCAGCAGACCACCAGTAACTTAACTATATAACCCAACCCTCATCAGATCGAGATGATCAAGAAAGACGTAGGTAGCATGAATCACTGGATAACACGGCACGCGATGGGAATATCCATCCATCAAAACCACTAGCACAATCTGTCACGCGTCATGATCAAGACCCATCTCAATCACGGTCAACGGCAATGTCAAAAAGACCGAGTAACCCGAAAAAAAAGGGTCTCGAGCTAATTGATGACAAGTACACTCGATTCCCAAAAGAGTCGAACAAAAAAGTCGTGACGTCAACGAGTCCCTGAGATGTAACATGACAGAAAACGCCCTCTCCCCACTCACACCAAATCATGGGAGGCATGAGGTTACGGTGGGGGAGCATTATTGTCACCCAAGAAATAAACGGACAGGGGTAAAGGGCTGTGTTAGTATCTGAAAAACAAACTGTGGACACAAGCACCACTCAGGCTCCGACTTCTTCCTCAACAACCTTTTCCTCACAATCTTTTTGACTCTGGCTTTATTTGAAGCCCATCTCGTATGCCGTCACGATCTGCTTTTTTTTGTTGTTGTTCACGTACACGAATTAAATAAACATCTGTCAAAATGGGCTGGGAATATGCCCAAGTGTACGTATCCTCGGCGTTGTTGAGGGAGGCGTTTAACTCATCCCTTGATATAGGCATCTGAAATACACGATACCGTTTGGTGTTGTTCTGGCGGCAGTTTATAGACCGTTGATGTCGCGGCTGGATGTTTTTAAGCTTGTGTTTTTGATAACGGTGAGTTTCTTGAGAAGATCAACGGGCTGAAGCTAATTTTTGCAGGTTGCTGTTGTTTCGACAATGTATGTTCGATTTGGAGGGGATTTTGTTGAGGTTTACTAACGCAGACAGCCCCTGGGACTCATATCTCATCAGAAATCGCATATGGACTTATCCTCCTGGTGTCGTGGTCGGTCTGACAGCATGGGATATTCCAGCGGAAGAATTATTCTTCTTTGTCATTCAGACTTTCAACACCTCTCTACTCTACATGATTCTCAGCAAACCGACCTTTCACCCTATTTACCTGTCCAAGAAGACGGGCTGGGGTAAAATCGCTGGCCAGATTCTTTTCGCATCAGCTATTATTTTCGGCCTCGTTTCTGTTTCCTCTGGCGGTGAGGGCATGTACATGGGCCTTATCCTCATTTGGGCCTGTCCATTCCTCTTGTTTCTATGGTAATACTCGACTTGAGAGACTGTTTCACGCTGCACATGCTAATTATTGGCAGGTCGATTTCTTATCAGTTCATTGTGAATCTGCCTTGGACGACTACTGCACTTCCTATTGCTTTGCCAACGTTGTATTTGTGGGTTGTTGATACTTTTGCGTTGCGACGGGGAACGTGGAGCATTACTTCTGGCACGAAATACGGCATTGTCTTGTGGGATGGACTGGACATTGAGTAAGCACCATTCTTCTGTGAGAGGTGACTATTCTAACCATTTGCAGGGAAGCTGTCTTTTTCCTTCTCACCAACACCTTGATTGTCTTTGGCCTCATCGCCTGTGACAACAATCTGGCTATCCTCGATACTTTTCCTGAGCACTTCCCTCGGACAAAAGGAGTGCCCAGCTTGCTTACAATCATCCGAACTCTTATCCTCCCCAAAGAGAAGTATGATGAGGAGCGCATTCAGGGTCTTGTCAGCGCCGTTGCTTTGCTTCGCAAGAAGAGCCGAAGCTTCTATCTCGCAAGCGGCACTTTTGAAGGAAGACTCCGCATTGATCTGATCCGGTTGTATGCGTTCTGCCGGGCCGCTGATGATCTTGTTGACGAAGCTCCCTCCGTTGAGGATTCCAGAGCCTCTATTGAGAAGCTGAGAAAGTTTCTTGATCTCGCTTATGAAGAGAATCAAGAGGAACCTTCACAAAGGCTACGAGAATATGTCATGTCCAACATCCCGGAGATGTTCCACATGGCTCTTCTCCAACTGCCTACGTATTACCTTCCCAAACAACCGTTGGACGATCTGCTTAAAGGTTTTGACACGGATCTTCTCTTTGACAGAAAGTCTGGCGCATTTCCCATCGAGACCACTGAAGATCTTGACATCTACGGAAGTCGCGTAGCTGGAACCGTCGCAGAACTCTGCAACCATCTTATTCTCTACCATACCCCAGAATCTGTCCCCGAAGACATCCAACGCGAAGTCGTTGCTTCAGGCCAAGAAATGGGCATCGCACTTCAATACGTCAACATCGCGCGCGATATCAAAACCGACGCGGAAATCGACCGCGTCTATCTTCCCCTCTCCTGGCTAAAAGAAGCCCAACTCACTCCCGAAGATGTAATTCAACAACCTCATGGTCCTGCCATCGAAGCTCTCCGTCATAAATTACTGGACCGTGCTTTTGAAAAGTACAACATGGCAAAGGGCGCTATTGATAAGCTTCCTTCAGAAGGGAAAGGGCCAATTCGCGTTGCTGTTGAGAGCTACATGGAGATTGGACGCGTTTTGAGAGAGAAGGGTCCTACGATGAAGAAGGGCAGGGCTACTGTTCCTAAGATGAGACGAATTCGAGTTGCATGGTCTGCATTGAACAAATAGCGGGGTGAAGCGTGGAGGATGTAATGGTAGAAGTCATAGATTCATAGATTATGTATTTCATTCCACATTGAGTATTGACCTTTTTAAGATCTGAATAATGTCTTAGGTATTGTCTACTCAACCGTTGGAATTGACATGGCGTCGTAAAGTCTCGTGGCAACCTAAATTCATAGCCTCACCGTTGACATTTTGACAGCACCACCACCATAATCCCACCAACCAATCATTCAACACGCATCCCGTCACCAAATCCACTTAAAGACCCTCCAAACCAAACCCGTCAATGATCGTCAACGCATCGACGACTTCAATTCTGCCTCTAATCTTCAATGAATCACTAAAATCCCTCAAAAAACAAACTGCGCCTCGCTAAGCACAGGGTAATCTGGCCTTTCACATGTACGCCAAGTGGTCTCATTAAACGAGTGCGAAGGGAAAAGTGGATCAAAACAAAATGGAAGACGTCATTGACTCTATTGCTCTGACTATCAAAACCGTTGGCTTCGGGTGAGTCGGTTATTGACTGAGCATCTTCACTTTTTACAGCGAAAATGAGCGACATTAAGAAATCTGTTATTGTTATTGGTATGCTACGGTCAATATTATGAGTTATGAGAAGGCATTGACTTACATTTACTAGGCGCTGGTGTCGGTGGTGTTTCTACTGCTGCGAGACTCGCAAAAGCTGGCTTCAAAGTTACTATCCTCGAGAAGAATGACTTTACCGGTGGACGTTGCTCCCTCATCCACAACGATGGCCACGTACGTCTTCCAACTCACTTTATCTACGCCCACTAACCTTGTCAGCGATTCGACCAAGGTCCATCTCTTCTTCTCCTCCCTCGCTTCTTCCACGAGATCTTCCAAGACCTAGGAACATCTCTAACCGCTGAGGGAGTCGAGCTCTTAAAATGTGAACCAAACTACAACATCTGGTTTGGCGACGGTTCATCCTTTGAGATGTCCACTGATCTCACCAAGATGAAGAAAGCTATCGAAGCTGTTGAAGGCATCGATGGTTTTGAGAGATATCTTGGTTTTCTTCAGGAGTCACATCGACATTATGAAGTTAGTGTTGAGTCTGTACTGCGAAGAAATTTCCCTAGTATTTTGAGCTTGGCGAGACCTGAAGTGCTGTTCAATCTGTTCAATATTCATCCTCTCGAGAGTATTTGGACAAGAGCGAGCAAGTACTTCTGGACTGAGAGATTGCGAAGGGTTTTCACATTTGGAAGCATGTATATGGGTATGAGTCCCTTTGATGCGCCGGGAACATATAGCTTGCTTCAGTATACTGAGCTTGCTGAGGGTATCCTATACCCTCGAGGTGGATTCCATAAGGTTAGTCTTGGAACCCGACATGATGCGTTCTTCACTAACAGCTTCAGGTCGTTGAGGCTTTAGTCAACGTTGGTCAGCGTCTCGGTGTCGAGTACCGTCTTTCCACCGGCGTCAAGTCCATTTCCATCAACCAAGCAACCGGCAAGGCAAACGGTGTTGTTCTAAGCGACGGAACACATCTCCCTTCAGACATTGTCATTTCAAACGCTGACCTTGTCTACACCTACAACAACCTCCTCCCCAAGACCAGCTACGCAGACTCACTATCAAAGCGAGAGACGTCCTGCAGTAGTATCTCCTTCTACTGGTCCGCTTCAAAGATTGTACCTGAACTCAATGCTCACAACATTTTCCTCGCGGATGAGTACCAGGAATCTTTTGACAGCATCTTTAAGGAGCACCTCATTCCTTCAGAACCATCTTTCTACGTCAATGTCCCTTCGCGCATTGACCCGTCGGCTGCTCCTGAGGGCAAGGACTCTATCGTTGTTCTTGTCCCTGTTGGTCATCTTCTTTCTGATTCTGAAGGAACACATCGCGGTCTGTCCAAGTCTGGAAACTCTGGTGGACTCGAAACAACCCAGGATTGGGATAAGATGATCTCTCTCGCTCGTGACACAGTCATTGAAACAATGCGCGCAAGAATAGGCGTCGATCTTGCTCCGCTTATTGAGAACGAGATCATCAACACTCCCTTCACATGGCAAGAGAAGTTCAACCTCGATAAGGGTGCCATTCTGGGTCTTAGCCACTCCATCATGAACGTTCTCGCCTTCCGACCTGGTACTCAGCACTCGAAGTACAAGAACTTGTACTTCGCTGGTGCCAGCACACATCCTGGTACTGGTGTTCCTGTCTGTATTGCTGGTAGTAAGATTGTTGCAGAGCAGATTCTCAAGGACTCAGGGTTCAAGAGTCATCAGATTCCTTGGGCGCAGGATACTGCCAAGTCTCCCAAGGGTGGACTGGACAAAATGAGCGATTCGTCTTTGACTCTGTTCCAAGGGTTCTTGGGAGCTTTGGTTGCGATCTTGTTGGCTTATTACTATCTTGTCATTGCTGCGAACTAGCGAGCATTAGTTGGATTGATCAGGAGTATTTCTTTGGTGCGATTACATAGTTAGAGATAGAATGAACTCCCCTAATACCTATGATCTACTTGTCTATATCCATGAGCCTTGCAAGTCAATAGTATGAAGCGAACATAGCAACTATCTGATCGGAAAGAACCGGGCTGTCAATAATCTTCATGCACTGTTCTAGACTGTGCTGGATCTGATCCATCTCCAACCCCACCAAAACGTCGATCCCGTCGCGTTACATTAAACATTCCTATCTTGACCTCAAACCGTCATCATATTCGGCAAATACATCGATTAGCCTTATAATTCCCACATAAACTACCGCGGGATCTTCCATTCTACGCTACGGCTACCGGCAACGTTTTTAGTCACTTGATACCACGTTTGAAACCTAGTGGTGTGGACTCAACATGTCAGCACGTCATAGACTCGATATCAGCCATCGCAGATTCTGGCAGCGCATATTGATGAACGATGCGTTTTTGTTTTGAGCAATGACGATTACTCGGCAGTTATTTCCGTCTGGGCTCGGGAGGGTCGGATATGAAGTCATGGAGAGGGAGATGGAAAACGTGGAAATGAAAGCTTGGCTGCATTTAAGGGTTTGACATCCATACCTGTCATCTTCTTGGCTTGCAGACATTCCATTTTTCGTTCCACGAATACGAAGTTACTTTTTTACCGTTGAATTAACCATTTTTTACCATGGCCGATCATCTTTATGCGAGAGGGAACGATGCTCTCAATGTCAACCGTGAGCCACAACAGCCTCCAGTCAAAACGAACTTACTAACAATTCACCCCAGCTGACATTGTCAATGGGCAACGCAGTGACATTAACATCACCGTCAGAGGCTCTGACTGGTACTGGGCTGTCTGCGCAGGTGTGTAGAACAACAACGTCCAGGGTTATGTGATGCAAAGACTAACTGTTCTTAGTCATGACCGTTTCAACCTTTGTGTTTCTTGGGCTTGGAATGAGAAAGCCTCGCACCGACCGTATCTTCCAGTAAGTTTCATCAAGATTCCATAGGACATTTTTCAAGCCCTTCCAATCCATGAGTATCCAAGGAGTCGGTGTCATGTACTTTACTGACCTGCTTAGCTACATCACTGCGGGCATTACCATGATCGCATCTATCGCTTACTTCACAATGGCTTCAAACCTCGGCTGGACTCCTATCGCGGTTGAGTTCCAGAGGTCCAACCATAGAGTTGCCGGGATCTACAGAGAGATCTTCTACGCACGATACATCGACTGGTTCTTGACTACCCCCCTGCTACTCACAGATCTGCTCCTTACTGCTGGCATGCCTTGGCCAACTGTGCTTTGGGTGATTCTCGTGGACTGGGTCATGATTGTCACTGGACTAGTTGGCGCCCTTGTGAAGAGCTCCTACAAGTGGGGTTACTTCGCCTTCGGTAAGTCGCCTCTATGCAATGACACCACCATCACTAACTTGGATAGGCTGTGCTGCTCTCGCATACATCGTTTATGTTCTCGCATGGGAAGCTCGTCTGCATGCTAAGCATGTTGGTCCTGACGTCGGCCGCACCTTTGTCATGTGCGGTTCCCTCACAGCCGTTGTCTGGATCCTCTACCCCATTGCCTGGGGTGTCTGTGAAGGCGGTAACTTGATTGCCCCTGACTCTGAAGCCGTCTTCTATGGCATCCTCGATCTCATCGCGAAGCCTGTCTTTGGAGCGCTGCTTCTCTGGGGGCATCGAAACATCGACCCTGCTCGTCTTGGCCTTCGTATTCGCGACATCGACGAGCGCATCTTCCCAGATGGGCCCAACAACAAGGCCGCATCTAGACATGGTGCTAGAGACGATACTGCCACTGCCTCTGGCGCTAATGTCAACCCCAACGCTTGAGTGGAAGGCTAGGAATAAGTATCATCAATGGCCTGGTTCTTTGAACAACCAGGCCCAAATTCTTCGACACTAATCTCCACCGCGGGTTGCTAGTTAATTCACCAATCGCACCAATTTTTTGTCTTTCACGAGCTGGATACTTGCGTATAATTTCATGTAAAGTACTAGTCTGTTGATACCCGAAGTCTGTTGTGTGGCAGGGATATGTCTTGGGGGGTTGTATTAATTGTCTGATTTCGACTAGTAATATATATAAAGTATTTATGTATCGTCTTTGTCTATATATCTCGCTTTAATCTGACTCTAAACAAGTATTGCTCATGTCAGGTACATGTTTGAATAAAGGGTGCTAGTCAATCAGACCTTGGCCTCAGAATCACTGGAATGAGGGGACACTTTCTCAGGACCTTCAGACAGTAGGACTGTCGTTTGACGAAGGCGACCAGTAACATCATGCGTCGCTTCCCACTCATCCAGCTCACCAATGGGGACCTTTCTGATCTCATGACTTTGAACACCGTTATCCAGAGTGACGGCTTCTGATCGCAACCTGTAGCCCTTCCATTTTGGTAGCAGGAATGCCCAGAAATAGTAGTACACACCGCATGAGATGAGACTATAGAATCTGTTAGTAGTGGCCAACCACGGTACTCATAGGGCTTTATGAACTCACATTCCGATGCCTGTCACGACGTATGTGGCATACCAGAAGCTGACATCGCCAGCGTACATTCCACCTTCGGGAGGATACCAAGGCATGATAATCACAAACAACTGAACCAGAATATTGAAAATGACAAGAGCATGCCAAGCCTTGAACTCGGGAGCAGGGAGGCCTGCACGCTTGCGCCGCCAACGCACAACGTAGAGCCCCACGGCCATGGCAAGATTGAAAGCGGCATTCGGATAGACACCAAGGTCGCTCACTAGTATGGGTTAGCTACTTCTACATCTGAAGAGACGCGTGATGGCATACCGAAGTTGAAGGCATCGCCAGATGGGATAGCAAGAATCATAAGGGCAGTAATAGCCCAAGTGGTGAAATAAGGTCCAAGTGGTGTTCCAAATGGCTTGGTAGAGACCCAAAAGGGAGTCCATGGAAGGACGCCTTGCCTATGGTTGTGTGTGAGCTCGGTTATACTTCATATAACTTCTGGGTAGACTAACCTCCCGCACTCTCGAAGTCGTCGGGATAATCCAACAATGACGGCCATGATGTTTCCAAAGGCACTCAAGGCAATAAGGAAGTTGAGCCCTCGCACTGCTCCACTATTTCCGAGCACCTTGCTAAAGAACAAGCTTGCTGCTGTCAGACCGGAGCTTTCGAGCTCTTCCTTGGGCACTACGACTATCAGTATGAGGCTCGAAGAGGCTGGGACTGATCACTATACCTGCTGAAAGCCAGGCGACGTTGGCGAACATATAAAGAACATATACCGTTGTCAGTGCAGCGAAGGCATATTTCTTGAGGGACTGGACAGGGTTCTACAGCAGACAGTCAGTCCGGCGTCAACGACACTATAAGGTTCTGAGCGTACCTTGACTTCGTTGGCGAGATTGAAAGCGTTATTATATCCACCATAAGAGAAGATAATTCGATATAGTGCATTGGTGAGACCGTATGCGCTAGCTGAGCCTGTGCCTTCGAATGCGTTTCGGAAATTGACCTTGGGGTCCTCAATGTCGGTGTGCCCGCCTAGAACCACGAATCCGGTAATGATAATAAATATGAGGGTGAGAATCTTGACAACACCAATTGCATTCTGGAACCAGTAAGCGTACTTGGTGTTGAACACCAGACCTGAATCGTGTAAGTATAGTCGCATGCCAATGAGAAAGGCTACTTACACAAGCATGCCACGGTGTACCCAGCTAGGGCTACACCTTTGGTCTCCCAGTTACTGGGTTCTTTGGTGGAGCACCGAAAGAGGTAGGTTGCCAGAACTGTTTCAAGGCTTAGTTTTGATGTCTTGAGAGAGGCTTGCTTCATGCCTACCAACAGCATTGCTACTGCCGAATGACAAGAGGACACTCTGCACAGCAAAGGTGGTTGGAAAAAACCAGGTAGGGCGTGGGAACGCTTGCTCGAGGAAGACAACCTCAGAACCCGATCGACTAGGAAAGTATGCGGTAAATTCCAGGTAGACGGCACCGGATGCAATGCAGAGCTGAGAATTATGTTAGATCAAGTCCTTGGCTCCAGTGCGCAAATAGTTCCTTACCAGATAGCCCAAAGTCCAATAGATGAACATCAGACCAACCGAACCGGTACCGTGTAAGATGGCAGAGGCTAGAAATTATAAGCAATCTCCTCTGAGTAATCATGAGTAGGAACATACGTGTAGAGTAGATGCCAGTACCAATCATCATAGTGACATTGATCAAGACGATAGTGAATGGCCCAACATCGTAGCCCAAAGGCGAGTCATGTTCGACAGGCGCTCCAGTGGCTTCCTGATACGTGACAGCATTGCTGTTGCCGCCAGTCTCTCCTACATACTTCAAGCTTCCGTCAGAGTATTCGCCATCGTTGATCGCGGTCTCGGTCGCAACAGCCGCGTCAGAGCGGCCACTGAATGGCTGTCTCCAGGAAACCATGGTGTGCCGATAGTCGACTTGCAACTAAATGCAAATGGACATGGGACTAGGCCAAAGAAGTGAAGCTTATAAAAATGATTGGTGTTCTCTCCGAGAGCCAAGGTCTTGGGGTGAACATTTGGTTATATAGTTCGAAGAAATACGTATAATGCTTCACTCTACTACTGACAGCAGACGATGACGCATTCTCATCCAACAGTATTTCCCCTCTCACCTAACGTTATTTCGGAATCCTCGAGAACTATGGCATATTTCGGCGGGATGTGGGAGGAGTGGATGAAAAGCAGGGTGGTTCATCACGAAAGACCTCTGAACTATGACGAAAGCTGGCCATTTCAAAGTTGAACCAGCACCTACCTATGCTTGTAGACTATGGCTACTCCACACGTCGGATCCGAGCCGGCAATAAGTGCACTGACAGGAAACGGTTTCAAGAAGTTGAGCATGATCCAAAATCTTTGGTGCAATGGAGTCACAGAACATATTACCAGAGCTGTGAAGCATTATTAACG